GATTATATAGAAGAGAAACTCAATTAACTAAAGTCACCAAAGTCTTCCATGAAAACAATTAAAAGATTGCACTTCTCCTAGAATATCCTATAAATAAATAGATCTTCAAAATAAAAGTATGGATCTAAATCTGTTAACTCGTTAGCATGCTCTTTTTTCTTCTTCACATGGTTAATGTCTCTAGATTGAAAGCGGGCCTGAAGAGCGTGATGGGCTTGCAATGTGGACGAGATATTAACTGCTAGAAATACAAAAAGAAAACAAGTGATAAATAGATTACAGTAATGTATTTTGTTTTTCAAGAAAATCGACATATACTTTTATATACATATTCAATAATAGTAAAGATTCGTCGTCAACGGAGTGAAGCTAGCACGAACAAACGAAAGGTTAGCTATAAAATTTTTTACTAAATATGTCCCGTCCGTGCAAACTACAACATTCGACTCAGAATTTAATTCTGCATTGAATGATGATACTTTTATTCACGGAGCAAACTTTCGAAAATTTTCTATCCATATCTTTGTTCATTTTCTTTAGGTCTATTTATAATCAGATAGAATTTTTCCAAAGTTTATCCCGTGAATAAAAATACCACGATTCGATGCAGAATTAAATTCAGAGTCGAATGGTGTACTTTTCATGGTCGGGACATATTTAGTAAAAACGCTTTTAGCTAACATATCGTTTGTTCGTGCTAGCTCCTTCGTAATAGCTTCACACTGTTTGTATGAATGTTAAGCATTGACAGAATATCACTTAGATATACAGTGATGCACTCATTACTAAGAAAAAAACAATACGATTATGTGCGTGAAAATATATAAGTACAAGAAATAGTAACTTATATATCAATCATCTCAGCATTGAAATCCATTCGATATCATTATACGTGGCTATAGCCAGCTGTCATGTCAAAGATATAAAAACCGATTATTTTACTTTTCCTGTACAGTACCAATCACCGATAGATAATTCTATGTCGATTATTGAGGAGAGCCGCCGTTTCGATAGTTATTTTTAGTTACATAGTCAATAAAAGTTAGAAAAAAAGAAATTGCTTGCATGCTAATTTATAATAAGAAAAATATATTCCGATGATTTCAACTTCGCATGTTTTACCATTTGAAAAGACATATTCGATTCTTATCTTCTTTTCACTCTTCGTATACACGTGTTGACCTCGAAGTAAAACGGTCCACCTGTACACAATCAATACTTTGTGCTTTAACAAAAAAAACTTGTCAAGGGTGAGTTAATGTAAACGAATTGATTGGTGACGAAAAATCAGTACGGGTATAGATGATTCTATTGTGTAATTATTTATTTATCGGGTATGTGCATTCAGCTCACAGTTGTGCATCAAATAGCTGAGTTATTGAGCTTCTCTGAACAATAAGATTATATTGGAACTGAAGAATGAGAACTCTATCCAACAGGCATGCAGGTGACATGATGTACACGTATATACTTTACAGAAATGTGTGAAAACAATAAAAAAATCATCGTAGATTTGGAAATGAGATGTAGTTCTTCTTCGATCCATAAAATTAATGATAACTAAGAGCTTTTTTCTTTGATACGCGAAACCAACAAAATGTTTTTCTTCTTTTTTTCTTAATCAAGCAAAGAATCATACGAACATTAATTTGACTTACATGAGAAGTAAAATGGTTTCCGAAACGAGAAGTTGCCCAGCTCATCAACTGATAGAAAGAAAATGAAATACACTATATAGTATTCTTGTGTTCTATGTCAAAACATTCTTATATTTATTTCTGTAAAATGCCGTTCGAGTTAACTGAAGTTGTTCCAGTGTCTGATTCACGTTCAAAAACGAAATCGGCTGAGAACAAATCCATCTTTTTTATGAAACATAGTCTCACCGAACGTAAACAACTTCACTTTCGCTGTCGTCGCGTCAATGATGTAATGTGTGTCATCGCTCTATTTGGTCTCATTCTCATGATTATCGATACGGAATGTCAATTCAATCAAATATCGGAATACTCTCTGATCATTATTCGACCTCTGATCAGTTTTTCCTCGTTGATTCTCGTCGGACTCGTTATATATTATCATCTTCTGAATGCTCGACTTTATGCAGTTAACAATCATATTGCTGATTGGCGTGTTACATTGAAATTTCGCAGTATTGTTATTATTATTTGTGAAATGATCGTATGTGCTATTCATCCATTTCCTCAGATTTTTAAAGTAACAACAGACAGTAACAATCTAGCCTGGCTTGATATGATATTCACGCTGCCCAGTAAGATTGCTCATTTTTTTCCTCATAATCATATCGAACTTTTGGTTTTCCAGTGTTTTTCCGTCTTTATTTAGTAGCGCGCAGCGTAACACAACATTCTCCATTAGTCGATGCTGCGTCATCTCGTTCAATCGGGTATTTAAATCGCGTGCCCATGACGATTTCATTCATTTTACGAGCTTTCCTTCAAACATATCCTGGTTTATGCTGGTCTTGTATGATGACGACACTCTTACTCATAACGAGTTGGTCATTACACGCATGTGAACAAGGAATGTGGTTTCCGATTCAAACACTCTCACCGGCACCATTAGCATCGGTTTCATTTGCTTCATCATTTGCCAACGCGACTTGGTTTACGATTGTTACATTTACTACAGTTGGATATGGTGATATAGTCCTTCAAACCTATTGTGGTCGAGGTTCGATGAAAATAGTTTGTTTTGTTTGAAAATAATCATTTGCTTTTTAGGCATCGCTTTTCTAACATCTTTCATTGGTCTCTTTGCTTCGGCTATCCTAGTCGCCGTTTTTATCAATAAGATCTCGTTGAACCGATCGGAACAGATGGTCTTAGACTTCGTGAAACGTATCAATCAAGCACGGGAGTACCGTACGAGAGTGATGCAAATTATCCAATACTCCGTTCGCGCGTGGTTTCTTCGTCGACATAAATCGAATTATGGCGCTGCATTTCCTTCACTTTGTCGATTACACCGAGCTATTCAAGCCGCCAAATATCTCAAACAACAACGACGAAATGTTCTCAACGGCAATGATTCTTTATTAAGTATCTTAACCAATGTTTATTATGAGCAAAAAACGAACGAGAAATTACTTGTTAAACTAAAGCAGCAATCAAATTCATTTGATGATCGATTGCGAAGATTAGAGATCAAATTGGATAATGTGCTGACTGTCCTTACGCGAAATAACTCTATTCCTCAACACAGTCGATTGTAAGCTTGAAATTTGAAGAATAAAAAACGAGTTTGAGAATGAGAAAGATTATGATATGCACTTCATTATCTATTCACCTATATTCTTGATTCTTTTTTGTTGTTTTACNTATCAATTATCTTATCATTTCATCTATCTCTCGTAAGTATGAACGAAAGGAATGTATATAAGAATGGTTTAAGAAGAAAAAAAGAAACATTCTCGAGTGTGTTTATCTGAATTTGAAAAAGTCAAACATGGGGGACTACCGTACCTATCTGTTTCCAATTGTTTTGTTTCTCTTACAAACAGCATTCACTGTTCTTTTGGGTTTGTACAGTGAATATGAATATTTTCCGGTTTCAAATGTCACTGATTTCGAAAATCCACCGCGTGGTCTAGTTGAATTCTACTATTCAATGTTCACAGACATACATGTCATGATGTTCATCGGCTTCGGCTTTCTCATGACATTTCTCAGTCATTATTCGTATTCAGCTATTGGTTTCAACTTTATTCTATGTGCATTCACAGTCGAATGGGCAGTAATTATGCGCGGCTTCATCTTCGATTGGAATGATACTAAGCAAAAGTTCATAGTTGATGTACGAAGTTTATCTACAGCAGATTTTGTCTCCGCTAGCATACTGATTTCTATGGGAGCTGTTCTGGGTCAAGTCAGTCCTTTACAGTTAATTATAATGGCATTTTTCGAAGTTCCGCTTCAAGTGGTGAATGAATGGATCGGTACATACTACTTTTGTGCTAATGATGCGGGAGAATCGATGTTTGTGCATGTATTTGGTAAGAATAGAAGAAGATGCAACAGAGATGTTCTCTATTTCACTTTTTTATAGGAGCATATTTTGGTTTAGCCGTTGCTTTCGTTCTGTTTCATTCAAATGTCATTGATTCGCCACTAGAAAAATCNGAATATCGGTGGCATCATTATCAGCCATTTGCACGACATGAGCAACAGGTACACCTCTTTGATAGAATACGACAGGTAATGTGTTTGTGACAGGACTGGTATTGATATAGCCATCAGGTCTCAAGCCTAAATTGAGTCGATTAACAATTGACCAAGCACCTGATGGAGCACGGATATAAAGACCCGTCATCCATGCACTCGATTGGTAACCAATCGTGATGGATGTCGTCAAGGGTAAGTTCAGCGTGTCATACCGTTCACCAGCCCATGATTGAATAATGACATTTGTTTGACAATCTGTTGTTGTCATAGCAGTCGAGAGTCCACCACTGGGATATGTGGAACTTGTACAGTTTTTCAAACAGATCATGGCTTCGTATACTGGAATGGGTGTTTGAGCAGCGACGTTTGTTTCTGTACAATAAGGTGGACTAAAACTACCCCATATTCGATTCCAGAAGTATCTCTGATGTATGAGAATCTGTGCACTACTACCCGATGGTGTGCTATTGAGTGGACGCCTGAGAACGAAGATCAAGAGAGCAGGGTGAGGGTGTGAAAAATGCAAATTAATCTACTCACCATGAAATGATACCACCACGAAAATGGTCACCGTTGTTCTTATCGTATAAGACAAGGAGAACCATAGAGAAGAGATGCCAAATTCGATTCATTTATTACCAATACAGGTGTTGTTTATTGTTATTTGTAAGGGCAGTGAAAGAAGGAGTTATGTAGCACAATAGAATCACGAAAGAATGACATTTTAGTGCGTATGAAACGAGTATTTATATCTTTGGTTTGGCTTTCATATGTAGAGCGATGTCCTGATTCATGAGAATTTTCAGCTACAGAAAAGAAAATAAAAGAACATCCAAGTGAATGATCTTGAAATCGCGGTGGTAGTGCGGTAGGTACAAAAAAAGATCAAAATACAGTTTATTTTTGTGCATCGATTAACAAAAGTGAAGCAAAGAGAATTGTGTTTCATAAAATAAACAAACTGGTATTACCTTTTAAAACAATATGCATCATAGAATTTAGTCATTTTTTCTTTTTCTTTAACTATAGCAATACGCCGTTTGAAATTTGAGATGCTATAATCACCATTGTACAATGTCACAATTCGATGACAAATTTTCTTTATATACAAACTAATAGTACATCGATATAAATGTGGAGAGTTTTTTGTTCCGAATTTTGTAGAACGGTCACCAGCAATGATTGGACGTATCACGTAACCAGGTGATGATAATTTATCGCAGATAATTAAGAAAAATCTCATTTTGTTAGTCTTCAACGATTTCTTATTGATTGGAACGTATGTATCTATACACGTACATATGATGCTCAACATGACACACACGTCATGTCTCGTGTCGATATTGATCTTGGCAATTATCTGTCAGATATTAAATTATTTGAAGATATACAAAAACTTCATGTGTAAAAGACTCGGGTGACGTTCGCAGATCGATATTCAAATGGATCAAAAATTGATGAGAGAGAACAGATTTTCTGCTGTTCTTCCACTATTGAAATAGTTGCGCAGTAATAATTGTCACAATGAATCAAAACTTCGTGTTTAAATCTACCACATACCTCCAACCCGCTATTTTGAACTATTTCAAATAGGCAAGAGCAGTCTTGAAATGATTTGTTCCAACGACGAATGTCATTTTGATCTTTCATCAGAAACCATGCAAAAGATTGATATAGTCGATCTTGAACTTCAATACAGTGATGAATTTCCAAGTGTTCATCTATTGTACCTTAAAGCACTACAGGAAAGCAAGTCTAGCAAAATAACTATGATTCATGGTCCATCGGAAACAGGCAAAACTAGCTACTTCCGCTGTCTGATCAACGAAATCGAGGATAAAGAATTGGGTGATGTTCCACCACTGATTTTGCACGTGTCAACTGTTGGATGAAAATTTGTCGAACACTGATGATAATCTGTTTATTTTCAGTAAATCGCGGAACCGAATATCTGACCGTTTCTTCTCTGGCATTCGAACTCGATTTTCATCAATGAAGATGCGGAGAACATTCTTCATGATCGGACACGCCATTCACGCTCACATAAACAGGTGGTTTCGATTTTGTTCAATCACGACATTTAAAGCATCGATCTAGCTCTTCTATGTGATGGAAGATCAGCTATGGAATACATGGGCGACAAATTGAGTGTCGAAAATGCTCGCCGCCTATGTGTCCATCTTGGTTTGGAAGAGAGTGGTAATAGTATCAAAAGCCCGATAAGTTTAGCGGAAATCTACGCGAAGAGAACAGTAAAGTAAGTTGTTACAACACGATGATTTTCGACGCGCTGAACGCGTTAACACGAAGATTAGAACAAATCTCAATGATTGAGAAAATCAAGCGGATTTTCATGCAAACTTCCATTTAAACAGCTCAGATATCCAACAATATTCATAAAATCTTTGTCACTGCTTTCATTCTAAAGCATTATTTGTCCATTTAGAATTTCTTCAAGGTGATAGAAGCTGAAATTGATATTGTTATTCCAAGTTGATTAGAACTACAATTGTCAAAAATGGTTAGTTGAAAGTGCTCAACGATTTCCTATGAATATAAAACAATAACCATGCTTCGTCAACTGAGGTTGAGTTTAAGAATTTCATATATTTTATGACCATATACTTAGTGTGTGAAATTATGACGTTCTTGGAAATAAGTTTATATGTAAAAATATTTTCTAAGGCAAATGAAAAATCGGTAATTTCGATGGTATCGCACCTTTCGGATTTATGGTCTCATTTGTAGAAGACGGTATCATATCGGATCTGTCCAATAGTGTAACCAAAATAATCGATTTAATATCATTTAGAAAGATATTACCATGAAAGTAAAATTTTCTCAAATTCTTTAATTCAACTTCAGTTGACGAAATATGGCTATTGTTCTATATTGATAGGAAATCATTGAGCACTTACAATTTTCACTGAAATTGATCTTATTATTCTCAGGAAATATATTTCAGCATTTTCTATAGATGAAAATAGCTGTAGGTGTGCCTAAAAATCGCACAAAACTCAGGGCTCTTCCCAGATCGAACCGAATTGTATTCCATCAAAAGTGTTTTCTAACAAAGATCGGATATCTGAGACGAAAAAAGACCTTCCCAAAAAAGTGGATGATTCCTCAGGGATTATTCACCCATTAATAAGTGCAGTTTCGCGTAAAGAAAAAGAATTTTACTCATTCGCGATTGCTCGATCTCCGGCATGGTAGTTATGTGATTCATCAACGGATCGTTTTGTTGAAAGACGCTCAATCAGGAAAGTTTCAGGACGATAATCATCGTGTACAACTCAAATCATTCTTGCAACGAAATCTTGCCTTCGAATCTCTTTTTGATGAACTACGTAATTTATATTCAGCGAACACTTATATATCGATTCGGGAATGATCGGTGAGCTAATTATCGAAATAGTGTCATTTCTCGGGAAAAGAATAGCTACTTTTATCCTATTATCAATATACCTTGATTAGAGACACACTTTTGATCATGACTTCGTTAATCTTTGTTAATACGGTAAAATCCCCCTATCTTCTGGAACCCATTCAGTGTCGACTAGTGATATGCAATCCCTCGGCACCGTCGTTCGTTCCACCGTTAGACTTGTTCTTTATTGGCGAAGGATCACTCAATGAGAAGAGATTGTCATTATCCAGATCCTGATCGGTGTATGAATGCTAAGCATTGAGTAAGTACAAGAAATAGTAACTTATATACCAATCATCTCAGCACTGAAATACACTTGGTATCATTGTACGTAGCAAGCCAGCTGCCGTGTCAAAGATGCAAAAACCGGTTATTTTTCCTTTCCTGTACAGTACCAATCACCGATCGATAATTCTATGTCGATGATAGAGGAGAATCTTCGTTTTGATAGTTATTTTTCGTTACATACATATCAATGGAAGTGACGAAAAAAAAGAGATTGTTTACATGCTGATTTATAATACGAAAAATGCATCTCGATTATTTCAACTTCGCATGTTTTATCATTCGAAAAGACATCTTCGATTCTTATCTTCTTTTCACTTTGTCGTATACACGTGTTGGCCTCGAGATAAAACGGTTCACCTGTACACAATCAATACTTTGTGTTTCAACAAAAAAACAACTTGTCAAGGATGAGTTCATATAAACGAATTGATTGATATTGAAAAGATCAGTGCGGCTATAGATGATTCTATTGTGTAGTTATTTATTTATCGAACATGTACATCCACAAGAAAAACGATGAAAAGAAACTGATTTGACTCGTTGTAGAAGCTTATGGTATGAAGTGTTCATTGCATGCAGGTGACGTGACATGCACTTATATACTTTACAGAAATGTGTGAAAGCAAACAAAAAATCATCGAAAAATTTGGAAATAAGATGTACGTTCTTCTTCGATCCATACAATTAATGATAACTAAGAACTTTTTTCCTTTGATATGAGAAACCAATAAAATGTTTTTCTTTTTTTTTCTTAATAAAGCAAAGAATCATACGAACATTAATTTGACTTACATGAGAAGTAAAATGGTTTCCGAAACGAGAAGTTGTCCAACTCATCAACTGATAGAAAGAAAATGAAATACACTATATAGTATTCTTGTGTTCTATGTCAAAACATTCTTGCATTTATTTCTGTAAAATGCCGTTCGAGTTAGCTGAAGTTGTTCCAGTGTCTGATGCACGTTCAAAACCTAAATCGGATGAGAACAAATCCATCTTTTTTATGAAACATAGTCTCACCGAACGTAAACAACTTCACTTTCGTTGTCGTCGCGTCAATGATGTAATGTGTTTCATCGCTCTATTTGGTCTCATTCTCATGATTATCGATACGGAATGTCAATTCAATCAAATATCGGAATACTCCCTAATTATTATTCGACCTCTGATCAGTTTTTCCTCGTTGATTCTCGTCGGACTCGTCATATATTATCATTTTCTGAATGCTCGACTCTATGCAGTTAACAATCATATTGCTGATTGGCGTGTTACATTGAAATTTCGGAGTATTGTTATCATTATTTGTGAAATGATCGTATGTGCTATTCATCCATTTCCTCAGATTTTTAAAGTAACAACAGCCAGTAATAATCTAGCCTGGCTTGATATGATATTCACTCTGCCCAGTAAGATTGTTCATTTTTTTCCCTCATAATCATATCGAATTTTTGGTTTTCTAGTGTTTTTCCGACTTTATTTAGTAGCGCGCAGCGTAACACAACATTCACCATTAGTCGATGCTGCGTCATCTCGTTCAATCGGATATTTAAATCGCGTGCCAATGACGATTTCATTCATTCTACGAGCTTTTCTTCAAACATATCCTGGTATATGCTGGTCTTGTATGATGACGACACTCTTACTCATAACGAGTTGGTCATTACATGCATGTGAACAAGGCATGTGGTTTCCGATTCAAACACTCTCATCGGTACCATTACCATCGGCTTCATTTGCTTCATCATTTGCCAACGCAACTTGGTTTACGATTGTTACATTTACTACAGTTGGATATGGTGATATAGTCCTTCAAACCTATTGTGGTCGAGGTTTGATGAAAATATAAAGCTTGTTTTGTTTGAAAATAATTATTTGCTTTTTAGGTATCGCTTTTCTAACATCTTTCATCGGTCTCTTTGCTTCGGCTATCCTAGTCGCCGTTTTTATCAATAAGATCTCGTTGAACCGATCAGAACAGATGGTCTTAGATTTCGTGAAACGTATCGATCAAGCACGGGAGTATCGTACGAGAGTGATGCAAATTATCCAATACTCCGTTCGCGCATGGTTTCTTCGTCGACATAGATCGAATTATGGCGCTGCATTTCCTTCACTTTGTCGATTACATCGAGCTATTCAAGCCGCCAAATACCTCAAACAACAACGACGAAATGTTCTCAACGGCAATGATTCTTTATTAAGTATCTTAACCAATGTTTATTATGAGCAAAAAACGAACGAAAAATTACTTGTTAAACTAAAGCAGCAATCAAATTCATTTGACGATCGATTGCGAAGATTAGAGATCAAATTGGATACTGTGCTGACTGCCCTTACACGAAATAACTCTATTCCTCAACACAGTCGATTGTAAGCTTGAAATTTGAAGAATAAAAAACGAGTTTGAGAATGAGAAAGATTATGATGTGCCCTTCATTATCTATTCACCTATATTCTCGATTCTTTTTTTGTTGTTTTACTTCGGTCCCCGTGTCCTGCCGATTATCTTATCATTTCATCTATCTCTCGTAAGTATGAACGAAAGGAATGTATATAAGAATGGTTTAAGAAGAAAAAAAGAAACATTCTCGAGTGTGTTTATCAGAATTTGAAAAAGTCAAACATGGGGGACTACCGTACCTATCTGTTTCCAATTGTTTTGTTTCTCTTACAAACGGCCTTCACTGTTCTTTTGGGTTTGTACAGTGAATATGAATATTTTCCGCTTTCAAATGTCACTGATTTCGAAAATCCACCACGTGGTTTAGTTGAATTCTACTATTCAATGTTCACAGACATACATGTCATGATGTTCATCGGCTTTGGCTTTCTCATGACATTTCTCAGTCATTATTCGTATTCAGCTATTGGCTTCAACTTTATTCTATGTGCATTCACAGTCGAATGGGCAATGATTATGCGCGGCTTCATCTTCGATTGGAATGATACCAAGCAAAAGTTCATAGTTGATGTACGAAGTTTATCTACAGCAGATTTTGTCTCCGCTAGCATACTGATTTCTATGGGAGCTGTTTTGGGTCAAGTCAGTCCTTTACAGTTAATTATAATGGCGTTTTTCGAAGTTCCACTTCAAGTGGTGAATGAATGGATCGGTACATACTACTTTTGTGCTAATGATGCGGGAGAATCGATGTTTGTGCATGTGTTTGGTAAGAATAGAAGAAAGTGCAACAGGAATGTTCTCTATTTCACTTTTTTATAGGAGCATATTTTGGTTTAGCCGTTGCTTTCGTTCTGTTTCATTCAAATGTCATTGATTCGCCACTGGAAAAATCTCGTTATACATCCGATTTATTCTCTATCATTGGCACAATGTTCCTGTTTTGCTTCTGGCCATCGTTCAATGCTGGCACGGCAAGTGGCGTAGAACGACTTCATGCCATTACGAACACATATGTATCGATATGTGCATCGGTTATCGGTGCCTTTCTCATGTCCACTGTCGTACGGAAAGGCAAATTAGACATGATTCACATTCAAAATTCAACATTAGCTGGCGGAGTAGCTGTTGGAACAGTGGCTACATCGAATATTGGTCTTCATGGTGCAATGATTATTGGCACTCTTGCTGGAATGGTATCTGTTTTAGGTTTTCATTTTCTTATGGAAAAAGTACAGCACATACGTATTCACGATACATGTGGCGTCAATAATCTACATGGAATGCCAGGTTTAATGGCGGGTGTTGCAGGAATTGTCATCGTTTTCATTGGAAATCGTTCTGGATTTCTCGACCACTTAACCGACGTGTGTCTGAGCGGTGGAAAACAACGAACAGCTAATATACAAGCAGCATATCAAGCCGCAGCTCTTGGTTTAACATTATGTGTCGCTATAATTGGCGGATTAATCACTGGGGCAGTCTTACGTTTACCCATGTTTGCAAAACAATATGAAAATTTTGAAGATGAACCGCTTTGGCATTTACCCGAGATCAACGAACCGAATAGTACAGCAGGCAGTGTGAATGCAAATCTCGATCGACGGTTTAGTATTATACCTGTAGCTAATATGAACAAAAATCTACAACGACGATTTAGCGTTTTTCCACAGTGAAAGAACATACTGAACAGACATTTAGCCATTTAACACATGTGTATGAAGATAGTTAGTTACAACAGCGTGGAAAGTGTATTTTTTTTCTTTTCGACCAATAAACATACGACTCTATCGTGTTGCCTTTATACCTGATAATCTTTTTGACGAAAGAAGGGCAAATGAATCGAGTAGCACTTAAATGGCAGAATAAGATAGGAGTTGGTAGTTTCGATCATATCATACATGTAAAAGTCGAAGAGACTATTCGAGTATTAAACTCTTAACTAATTGGCTATTAAATATCTACTAACTAAACGCTAATTATGGGTGAGGGTGTTGGGGAGGGTGCAACGGCATAGTCAGGGTCAATATGAACGGGATTCGTTACGATTAGTTGGCTGATAATTCATGGTCATATAGTGAATGAATGATTAAGTAGTATTTAATAGTGAGATGCCGATTACTTGATAGCCCATTGATTGATAATAAGTAATCGGTTGGTTAATATTTAATTAACAGTTATATAGTAGTTAACAATGAGTCACTCCAGGATTTATGATCAATCACTTACGAGTTGCTAAGCGGAAAACTCGAAACTTCGAATTCTAAAGTAGAAGATTTAGAATTCGAAGGAAGTTTTAATACTCGAATCGAGTTAACGACTTCTACACTACTCATTTTCTCTTGATAACATCGTTTGCTTATTTCGTATAAGCCATGTACTCACAAATTAAAAGTACCCAAAACGGATGTGATGCATCGTAATATAGTCATAAATCATATAGTTTAGGCAAAACAAATCTACATTAATTTCCTTTCTAATAAAGAATCTATATGTACAATACTCACCTTTGTCAAAAGCATGATATTTCAGCAAACGATATCGAAAATCATATCTTCCTTTAAATTACACATTAAATATAAAGCTCAGACGAAGTAAAAAAAACATTAACTAGAAAATGGTAACAAGTATTCGATCTTCTTCTCTATGGTACAAAATATTTTTTTCAGTTGATTATTTGTATTACTCTTTTTTTGTTATGTATATTAGGTCCAAATGGTATTCTTATTTCATTCCTACGACATTCATCAGTATTGGATTATTTGTAATCGCAAGTGTTATTGTACTTTCACTTCTTCCTTTATATATTCCAACGAGAAATTTGTCAATTGAAGGTAAATTTGCACAAGCACATATTGAAATTCGATTCATTTGATTAAAATCATCTCAAGATTCATATAGTTCATTACTTAATCTCAATTACAATATACCACGATCTCTTGTACCCGAATTGAGTGGAAATACGATGGTCTTACGTACGGGTAATTTAACCGATGATCGGATAAAAATCTTTGAAAATATTGTAATTTAATTCTTAAAATGAAGAACACAAATCTCATGAGAAATTTTTGAATTGCTCCATTTTAGTTACAAAATAAATTATCTTCAAATAAAAATTTTCAAAAGCTTCGTATTAATGTTAATCAAGTTAATATTCAATCGATGACAAATAATCGTCGTCGTCGTCGTGCAGCTGATCAACGTTCTTCAAAAGCAAATAATGTTATTATCTATCAACAATCAGATATGAATTCAACGGAATTTGATCAATTAAAAATATTTTTTCGATTGATTCGTCGTGGACATTTAACAGAAAGTTTCATTTCAAATGTTCTCATTAATATTTTTAATCAAATTGAATTTAATGTAACAACATGTGAGTACTTCATTTGATTATTTCAATTTAATTAACAATTCGATTTTTTGAATAGTTCTCACATTATTTGGCGAAGATCCAACTATCGTAAGTACACATTTTCCTATAAAAATCAAATAATAACGAATCTCGGCGAATGAATTATTTGTCGAATATAAAATTTACATTTGAGAAAATATTTCTTATTATGTAGAGTTTATCATCACGTACAATTAGTTCTCATGTGAAAGATAGTGAAATCATAAAATATAATGGTGTTCGTGTCTTTGGTATGAAAGATTATACAGGAAATATTCAAAATATTTATGCAATTCAAACAAATAATACAATTTATCGAATTAGCAATGGTCAAATTGTTCAAATACGATCTTTAAATGAAACATTGGTTTTTAATTATGATAATAATAATAATCAATATAAGATTTTACTTGTTTTAACAAATAATTCTTATGAAATTTCAAAGACTTATGACAAAGTGAATATAACATTTCCATCACCAATATTTAATTATCCTCTAAATGAAACAGTACCAAAAATCTTCACAGGAATTCTTCTTGAATTAAATAATAAAATTAATAGTCGAACAATCGATGATGCAACTTTAGTTTTGAATTATTTCGATGTTAATCAAAATGAGAAAAGTGATGTGATGTTAACAATGAATGGTGGAAGATATTTCCTTCCACTACCAAATAATGATGATTTATTTGAAAAATATTTTAATTCAAATAAATTTCTGACAACAATAACTGAACAAAGTGATGCATATTTACAATTATTTCAATCTTATCCAATTGTTGATATTTGTTCAAAAGTTCCCGATGTTTCCAAATCATTTTGTTCAATTCTTATTCAAGAAATGACTGTGACAATACCTGAAGCTCTTCGTTTTGCATCAAAAAATATTTCGACATTTCATCTTAAATCTCAATCATTTGGTCAAATGACAAATTTCACAGTAACTGCTTTTGTTCCCGGTCAACAATCACTCACAATACCATTGAATTCATCTAATATTATTAAGGGTAAATCAACAGCAAGAAGTGCAATTACTATCGATCCAAATCAATTAAACACAATTTCTATTCAAATTATTGGTACTCGTGGTCAATGTAATGAACAAACAGTCGCTGGAAATGACATTCCGGACGATCGAATTATTGAAATTGGTAAATCCCATACAACAGTAACATTTTCTTATGAAACATATGTAATTAAAGATCAAATTGAAGTTTATTACATGAATAAACAAATCTTTTCAACTGGATGTGTTGGTGCAAATGGGAAAAGTTCATTTAATTTAGATGGTGATGAAAGTACATTGAGAGTAAATGTTATCCCAGATTGTGCAGGTGAAACGGGAACTGCGTGGTATTATTCGTTTCAATGTACAAATCAATTGATTTGTGAAGAAAATTATTGTTATTGTGGATTAAATCATCAAAATTCTCAACAAATCAAACCTCCTCAAACAAATGGATGTGGAGGAGAAGGATCAGCGTGGAATTTTATTATTTATTCTTTAGGAGGTTTATGGGGATTTACACCTGCTTGTAATGCTCATGATGAATGTTATGGAACATGTAATAATCATCGAGATATGTGTGATATGAATTTTCAAGCAGATATGACTTCGATTTGCTCGAAATTTCTTCTTCTTCCTCCTTTATTTCCTAATTGTCAAGCTTGGGCTGAAGTATTTTATCTCGCCGTACATTTCGGCGGAGCTAATTTCTTTATTCCTGCTCAAGAACAAGATTGCAATTGTGTCTGAAAACAATAAAAACGTTACTCATTAAAAACTTGCGAATTCTTCTCTTCTTTCTTTTTCAATAAAAATCAAGAAATTCTCTTCGTCAATATTCATCGAATGAAATATTCTATTAAAAATATGTTACATCATCATCAAAATGAGTCTCCGATAGTTTTTTGTAAGTCATCTCAAAAATTGGTTCATGAATTTCATTTGTTCGATGATAATGAATTCTCGTTGTCACATACGGAAGGAGATTTTCATAAGCATTCAACAGATTTCTACAAGATTTGTTCCGTTCGATAATCAAATTGGAATTGTCTTCATTTTGAGCCCATTTCAAAGTGATTTGAATATATTTTGTCATTGCTTGTTGATAATTGTCTTCATTGAATTGTTTTCCTTGTTGATCTTGACGAAATGTTTCCATCATTTGTTGATCTTCGTCAGTCGGTAAGAGATATCGAAAATTGGCGTGTTTTCCTTGTAATCGTTGTGGAATATTCATTGGATCGATGTATTTCGTTAAATCTGATTCTTTTCGGAGAAATTTGATTTTATTTTCCACATCTGAATCCAACCAAGGACAAATCATTGACCAACAACTACTGAAAATCCATGATGCATTGACAATAAGACCAAGACCAAGAGATTCTGGATAATAATTTTGAAATAAATTGAGAAAATTTTTCACTAATTGAAAATCGATATTTCTCATGTTTAACCCATTGACGTCAATCACAACAGTAAATGTTTCGACAGGAGACTTTAATAATTTTCTCGATATTTCTAAAGCTAAAATTGCTAATTTTTCCGTATTTTCGAGTGAATATTGTCCTCGAATATGTTCTTTAGCATGAATATAACAAATAGGTCGACCAATTCGATCTTGACCCATAAAATAACCTTTACCCATTTGAGCTTCTGAAAGTGAAATTTCACTTTCACCTTTATTTAATAGATCTTTAACACCTGATTTGATTCTCCATTCAAGAAGATTGAAAATTTGTTCAATTGTATTTTTTACATTCCATTTCCGTGCACGAAGCCAACGAAGTAAAACAACATCGGCATTTTCATGAGCAAACCAAAGAAATAATTCATTTGTATATTCACTATTCATTCTGTTTAACAATTCAATCCAACATTCTTTTAAAAGATTCTTCTGTCTTTTATCAAGATTATCTAAAAATGAAATGAATTCATATTTTCAACAATGAAATTTCTACATACTGATATGTCCAGGATCGTTTGCACTCATTTCACGTCGATTTTGATCACTTTAAAGATTTGTTTTAGAACGAATTCGTCGTTCGTATTTATACAATTGAGTTGGATATGCAATGAAATATCATCATCAATGATGACGCATCATAATGACATATGTAAAAATAACTTCGATCGTTCTTTTCGTACACGATACTTGTTATTCCTATACTTTTAGAACACTGAATCATATCATCTATTCGAACGATACATTTAAAAATAAACAAATCTTTGTTAACAAGTGGAATTTATTGTATTGTAGAATGAACAATTCGATCATTTCTATGGCTATTGATAAATTTGAACAGAGAACAAAATGAGTTTTGGATAAAGATATTTCAGCATAATAGAACAAATGCAACTGATGATATTGTAGCAGTCTACGTACCGCTATCTCGTGCAAAACGTTTGCTCGACTTAGCTATTTGATTATGAAGTTTTCATAATGAAACAATCTAATTCTCAAGTTGTTGAAATGGAAAGACTCGATCAGCCGTTTTTGAGAACACGATCACGTTTTCCGGAATGGTTTCAATCAATCTTACATTTAATAGGAGAGCTCCTAATGATTTTATCAGTTTATACAAGAGGCAATTTGCATTTTCCATAAATTCTATTATCTTTCGTTAAATTATAGAATTTCTACATTTTTATATTCGTTAAGATAAGATGGTTTCACAGTTAGATTATGTAGCGCATATTTGCACAGATATTGATTTTTTTCTTGATTACGGAAGTCGTGGAACAAATGTTGTCAACTGTACTTAGAATTACGTAGAATATTTTGTTTGAAATCCCTAGGATATGACTTTCAAGATTATGAGCTAAAAAAAGGATTATGACAAGTACATAATAATCGAATTCAAATTACTTTGCATAACTTCAGCAAGATAAAAAGTTTATACTGTTAGTCATTCAGTCGGGAGTTAAGCAAGTCTTCCTCAAGAAGCGCTGCTATAGTAAATAATTCAAATTGTATTTAGAAATTCAAATTTTTCGCACACAGAAGATATAATGTGATAGTTTTATTGCAGTGTATTCTGTACATCATATTGTAAGAAAAGTTTCATATAAAACATGATAATATATAGACACGGAGACCGAAAAAGATATTCCTAGAGATTGTAAATTATTTGTTAAATCTTTAAGTTAAATGAGTTATTGAACGTAAGAGGAGAATCAAAGAAATGATATTTTAGAATTATCAACAAGCTTTTTATCTATAGAAGTTTATCAAAACTAACCAGAGATTCTGATCGAGCTCCTTATCCACGACTACGTTTTACTGTTAAATTCTTGTTAGAATTTTCTGTAAGAAAATGAACAAATTATAGATATATTTTAATAGAAGATTCTTTTCGTTCAGGTTTTTCAATTTAAAGTAGAAGAATACAAGGGGAAAATTTAGATCTCCTAAAACGAGAACGCGGCCTAGTAGCCGCTAAACCCTCTACTATGCTGACATTATGCTTCTTTTCAAACTACACTTGAATAAACGTGTTACACTATCAATCTAAGAGAAGTTCAACACCTATTCGATTATAGTAATCATTAGGAGAGTTATATTTTGTGTAAATTCTATCTTTTTCTGTCTTCTAGGTTACAACAAAAATTCGCTCTAGATCAAATGAAGCTGTATACAAGTGGTTTACTTGACCTTCGACCGAATTATTGACATAAAGGAATATTTTATGATATATTGTCAAAGATATTAGTGTTACTATTGAATAAACTCACGCATTGTACGAATAGAGAATGAATGTGCAGTGTTGAAATGGTGTGACGGCTTCGGCGATGCAAACGTATGTACCAGCACTCACATGTCTTGGTATTTCGTGAATGAAAGAGACATTTTCAACGTTTATTCAGCATAGACATAAGGACCAGATAAATTCCCAACAAATCAAAATACTTAATATGAACTTACATCAAGATGAATGTCGTCCGAGTCGCCATAGATTGGACACGTGGCTTCGTGCTATTCGGGATTACACAACGCTCGCAGGCAGCAGTAAAAGAGTCGATGAATAAATCGGTTTTATTTGCCGTCTATATGAATGACTCAGGTGACATCTTTCTCCTATGTAACAGTTGGCGCGTAATTAACGAATAGTTGTGAGGGTTTTTCTGTTCTTGAGATTAAGTAAACGACTGGGAAAAAAGAAACTGCTTGTGCTATGGTTATTTGTTCTCTTATTGCAGATGAGTGAAGTCTCACTGAAACCGTGTGAAGCTGAAAGTTGTGCACGTGTGGCTGCTACACTATGTGGTCATTGCAAAAAAAACGTTTGTCGACGTCATTTCAATGAACATGCAGATCAACTTGTACAAGAACTCAATCCATTAGCTGACCGGATCAACGCATTGACAGAAACACTAACTTCTTTTACTCTGACAAATTATAAATTAAAATTATTTAATCAATTAATTCAGTGGCGTGACAAAGCCATCAAAGAAATTCATGAGTTGTACAAGTTTAAAAAAAGAAAACTTACTCTCTTATTGAACGATAATGAGGAAGTCTTTTTACAGCAGACAACTGACCATTTGGATGGAGCTGAAATATTAAAAAACGAAACAGCAACTTTTATCAACGATAACGATGTAACAGCTGAACAATTGAATATATTAAAACGAAAAATACATGAATTAGAAGATGCAGTTAACGAGACACATACTCATCTTGTTTATTGTGATATCAAGCCAGTGTTAATCGATTACGAGTCAATTCTTATTCATTCCACAGGAAATAATTATATGAATGGTGGTACACTTCTATGTGCAGATTATCAAATGCGATTGAATGATTTTTACGGTCGTTCGAGACAAAAATGGAACTTAATTTACAAAGCATCAAAGGATGGTTTCCGAGCACAAGACTTTCACCTTTGTTCGGATAACAAAGGTCCTACAATAACTATTATACAAAGTAAAAATAATAATTGTCTTTTTGGAGGCTACACCGCAACATCATGGACTAGTGATGAAAAATATAGATCAGATCCAAGAGCATTCTTATTTACTTTGAAGAATACGCACGGTATTCATCCTACTAAATTTCTTCAAAAACGAGCTGGAATCAACGCCATTGGCCATACTGCAGCTACCGGCCCTTATTTTGGCGGAGTGGTGGAAAACGAGATGCATTTTATTGATATTCGCGTATCCAATGCATCAAACAACAATGATCTCTCTAAATCTTCATTTCCAGCTAGTTATGTTGATACTACTGGAAAAGGTAACAAACTTTTCGCAGGCGACAGCAATTTCATGGTGAAAGATATAGAAGTTTACCGATGCATTGTAGGTGAGAATGAAGACGAAAGGAAAAGTTGAACAATTTGTTGTTCTCTATCGATATGCAAATATTCAATATGATTCAAATAAAATACTCTTCAATGATATCCCTTTGAGACATGATATCTTTCTGTTCTACTCAGCTACATAATTCTGTGATAGCAAAATTCTTTCTTATGATTCACAGTGTTGTCAAATCTTTCGTGTACACTATTCATTCTTTTCGGACGATGCAATACATTTTTCATCGAAAACAAAGTTACCTATACATCCAGACCTCTTCAGTTAAGGTTATATGCATGATTAATGAGGAACATAAAAAATCACACAAAGATGTTTTGTAATATGTGTAAGATAAAAGGGTCTATAAAATATCCGAGAAGAGAAAAGAGAATAAAAATGCAGATTTTATTACTGGCAAGAAGAGTGATGACGATGCTGCTTTCTCTGAATTTGTCATCAAAGGAGCACTAGTTCCGTTTTTTGAAGATTTTTTATGACGAACTCGAACGACATCGTTAGTAATCTTTGTCTATATAAAGACGATGGTGTTCTGCAGAAAACTCATCAGAAACTGACGGATGGCGTATCAACAAGTTGCACTGATCGTTCTCCTTACAATAATATCAATCAACGCATCACACTATCGGTAGGAGTGCGTGTATTTTTTCTGCTGTGATCGTCAAATATTTTCACTTTAGTGGTGGCTCATTATCATGGAGTATTCATGACGATTCAACGAATGGATCATCGTCCACAGTCGTCGTTCGCATTACACAACGACATTCTTATCGCAAGACTTACTCGGTAAACACTTACTGCAATCAGACAACTATTGCTAGCAACAATGTGATTGGTGATGGCAATGTGATATGTCTCGGCGATTGCTCCGGTTATTCAGTTAATGGAACTTATTACATAATACCAACATTTGATACATACGTACCATGTACTGATTTCAGTGATGAATTTGACTACAGTAGCGGAGAGGGTTCGGTTGATGTGATTGTGCCCAAAGATACTCGATTTACTTATGCGGTTCAAAGCTGTTGCTGGATATCTCTGTTACATGGTGGTAATGATTGGTCATTAGCTTTGGTTGTCGATACACACCAACGTCGGAATGGAAAGTAGGTCTCCGAAAAAGCGTAATCAACTCTATCGTTTTCTTTCATCTCTGCAGATACAATAATTCACCGAAAACTTCATCGAGTCCAGTCGTTCAAGTACAAATTGGGCAAACACACGTCATTCCTATTCCGATGGCAGACAGTGATGGGGATGCACTTCGATGCCGTTGGGGTCAGAACCAGATAGAATGTGGTGGCATTTGTGATCCCAAGGGTACTCTTCAACAGTTCCCCTGTCAGCTGTCATATGAAGCAACGACACTTGGCTATGAAGGTGTAGCGTTGGTCATCGAAGATTATGATCCAGTGACTAATGAGACCTATTCATCTATTCCTCTTCAGTTTCTCATTCGAATCGTTGATCAAATTCCAGTCACCGTACCACCAGACTTCAACTACACAGGTGCTCCACTTTTACAACCATGTACTGTTCCTCCAGTGTACATTGGTGACCGACACCACGGAGCTTGTATCGGTGTAAAATCCAATTCCACAGTCATCGAACGTATTGTTATTCGAGTTCCATGTAACGAATCTAGCACTACAATCACAGATATTCTCACTGTTTCCCCGCCTGGCATGAGCAAAAGTTCGATTTCATTAGATCCAGACGATAACAATACGTACATTATGTATATTCAATGGACCCCTCGACCAGATCAGTATGGTATTCATCAACTCTGCTTGACTCCGGTTGATTCCGTCGGCCAAACTGGTCAACAAGTATGTTATACATTTCAAGTTGATGTCGAACCACCCAACTTCATCAATGGATCGATGACGCCTCAAGGCCTCGTTCCACGAAATCAAGCCATCTGGTCGATCTCGACTGACCAAGACGTAATACCACCTTCACAAAGAGTAGCATACATTCGGTACTTCAAGCAAATGTCCAGTGGTGCAGATGTAGAAGTCTTGCGTGTCAATGTAGCCCTAGACGTTATCTACCAAGCAAGACAGCTTGTAATCAACACGGGAAGTACTACATGGGAAGAGGTAAGAAATTAGGTGTGCTTTTGTTTTTCAATTACATCGTTTCTCGAATGTCTATCTAGGGTGCACAATATTATATTTTATTCGATAGTGGAATAGCATTAATTAACCAGTCCTGTGGTATTGAATCAGCACCTCTTGCAAACAAGTATTTCTGGACCTTTCAGATTGCGGCGCCGAACAATACAACGCAAACGTCTACCACTCGCAAGACTACCACCACCACCACTCACAAGACCACCACCACCACTCACAAGACCACCACCACCACTCACAAGACCACCACCACCACTCACAAGACCACCACCACCACTCACAAGACCACCACCACCACTCNTGCATCGGTCATCGGTGCCTTTCTCATGTCCACTGTCGTACGGAAAGGCAAATTAGACATGATTCATATTCAAAATTCAACATTAGCTGGCGGAGTAGCTGTTGGAACAGTGGCTACATCGAATATTGGTCTTCATGGTGCAATGATTATTGGCACTCTTGCTGGAATGGTATCTGTTTTAGGTTTTCATTTTCTTATGGAGAAAGTACAACGCATACGTATTCACGATACATGTGGGGTCAATAATCTGCATGGAATGCCAGGTTTAATGGCAGCTGTTGCAGGAATTCTCATCGTTTTCATTGGAAATCGTTCCGGATTTCTCGACCATTTGACCGACGTATGTCTGAGCGGTGGAAAACAACGAACAGCTAATATGCAAGCAGCATATCAAGCCGCTGCTCTTGGTTTAACATTATGTGTCGCTATTATTGGTGGATTAATCACTGGTGCAGTCTTACGTTTACCCATGTTTGCAAAACAATATGAAAATTTTGAAGATGAGCCACTTTGGCATTTACCTGAAGTTAACGAGCCGAATAGTACAGCAGGCAGTGTCAATGCCAATCTCGATCGACGATTTAGTATTATACCTGTAGCTAGTATGAACAAAAATCTACAGCGACGATTTAGCGTTTTTCCACAGTGAAATAACATACTGAACAGACATTTAGTTATTTAACACATGTGCACAAAGATAGTTAGTTACAGCGGTGTGGAAAGTGTGTTTGTTTTTTTTTTTTCGACCAATAAAAATACGACTCTATCGTGTTGCCTTTATACGTGAGTCTTTTTGATGAAAGAATGGCAAATGAATCGAGTAGCACTTAAATGGCAGAATAAGATATGAATTGGTAGTTTCGATCATATTTCTCAACATTTATTCTACATAGTTTTAAAGATCAAAACTTGATTTACAGGTAGTCAATGCTTTTTTCACTCACATTTTCGTGTATGCCAAAATTTACCATAAATTTTGTACAAATTATTTGCTGGAGCACAATTATTCTATCAAATCTGTGTGATGCTGATAATTTAGTGGAACTAACTCAAAAACGAGTGCACATCAGTTCACAAGACGGATCTATAACCAGCGTTGTCGGAATATTAGTAGGTCACAATTCGAAGACAGAACGTCCAACAGGATGTATGGTTATCATATGCAATGCAACATGTGTTGGAGGTGTCGATGTTCGGGGATCGGCTCCGGGTACACGTGAAACAGATCTGCTCGACCCAATTAATTTAGTTAATATTGTCAATGCAATTGTTTTGTCCGGTGGTAGTGCATTCGGATTGGATGCAGCATCGGGTGTAGTTCGTTGTCTCGCCGAAAAGAAGATTGGATTTCAAACACCAGCTCGACCAGTTCCAATTGTCCCAGCTGCTGTATTATATGATTTAGATGTTGGTAACGATTCATTCGTCGTTCCTGATGCTGATTCTGGCTATGAGGCGTGTATGGCAGCCGATAATTCTCGTGTAACAGAAGGAAATATTGGAGCAGGTAGTGGTGCTAGCATTGGAAAATTGTTCGGCATGAAATATGCTATGAAAACAGGACTCGGCAGCACTGCATTAACCGTTCGTAATTTAGCCACACATGCTACGGTTACAGTTGGTGCTCTTGTTGTCGTCAATGCAGTAGGAGATGTTTACAAAAATGGTACTTTAATAGCTGGTGCTCGAACTTCTGATGGCAAACATTTATTGAATACAGTCAATTATTTACTCCGCTTCAATTCTTCCGTTGACAATACTTTTTCTGTTGGAATGGCCACGACAATAGCCTGTATAGCAACAGATGCCTATCTAACCAAAGCTCAAGCAAAAAAAGTTTCGCAAATGGCTCATGATGGATATGCTCGAGCGATCAATCCTATCCATACGATGTTCGATGGCGACGTCATTTTCACTCTGGCGACCGGAACTTCGCCAGTTTCGGATGTTAATCTCGTTGGTTTGATGGCTGCGGAAGCTATCGAACGAGCAATTATTCGAGCTGTTGAACAAGCAAAAAGTCTTCCAGGTCTTCCTAGTGTGCACGAACTCAGCTCATCAGGTGAGACATTTGCATTCAGTGGCACTTTACTGACATTATGCTTCTTTTCAAACTACACTTGAATAAACGTGTTACACTATCAATCTAAGAGAAGTTCAACACCTATTCGATTATAGTAATCATTAGGAGAGTTATATTTTGTGTAAATCCTATCTTTTTCTGTCTTATAGGTTACAACAAAAATTCGCTCTAGATCAAATGAAGCTGTATACAAATGATTTACTTGATCTCCGACCGCATAATTAACATAAAGGAATATTTTAGGATGTAGTGTTAAAGACATTAGTGTTATACTATTGAATAAACTCACGCATTGTACGAATAGAGAATGAATGTGCAGTGTCGAAATGATGTAACGGCTTCGGCGATGAAAACGTATGCACAGCACCTACATGTCTTAATATTTCGTGAATGAAAGAGACATGCTCAACGTTTTATTTAGCATAGACATAAGGATCAGATCAATTCCCAATAAATAAAGATACTCAATATGAACTTACATCAAGATGAATGTTGTCCGAGTCGCCATGACAGTGTTTGTTCACTTTGCCATAGATTGGACACGTGGCTTCGTGCTATTCTGGATTACACAACACTCGCAGGCAGCAGTAAAAGAGTTGATGAATAAATCGGTTTTATTTGCCGTCTATATGAATGATTCAGACGACATCTTTCTCGTATGTAACAGTTGGAGCGTAATTAACGAATAGTTGTGAGGGTTTTTCTGTTCTTGAGATTAAGTATACGACTGGGAAAAAAAGAAACTGCTTGTGTTATGGTTATTTGGTCTCTTATTGCAGATGAGTGAAGTCTCACTGAAGTTATGTGAAGCTGAAAGTTGTGCACGCGTGGCGGCTACACTATGTGGTCATTGCAAAAAAAACGTTTGTCGACGTCACTTCAATGAACATGCAGATCAACTTGTACAAGAACTCAATCCATTAGCTGACCGGATCAACGCATTGACAGAAACACTAACTTCTTTTACTCTGACAAATTATAAACTAAAATTATTTAATCAATTAATTCAGTGGCGTGACAAAGCCATCAAAGAAATTCATGAGTTGTACAAGTTTAAAAAAAGAAAACTTACTCTCTTATTGGACGATAATGAGGAAGTCTTTTTACAGCAGGCAACTGACCACTTGGATGGAGCTGAAATATTGAAAAACGAAACAGCGACTTTTATTAACGATAACGATGTAACATTTGAACAATTAAATATATTAAAAGGAAAAATAAATGAATTAGAAGATGCGGTTAACGAGACACATACTCATCTTGTTTATTGTGATATCAAACCAGTGTTGATCGATTACGAGTCAATTCTTATTCATTCCACAGGAAATAATTATATGAATGGCGGTACACTTCTATGTGCAGATTATCAAATGCGATTGAATGATTTTTACGGTCGTTCAAGACAAAAATGGAACTTAATTTACAAAGCATCAAAGAATGGTTTCCGAGCACAAGACTTTCACCTTTGTTCGGATAACAAAGGTCCTACAATAACTATTATACAGAGTGAAAATAATAATTGTCTTTTTGGAGGCTACACCGCAAAACCGTGGACTAGTGATAACAAATATAGATCAGATCCAAGAGCATTCTTATTTACTTTGAAGAATCCATACGGTATTCATCCTACTAAATTTCTTTGCAAACGAACTGGAATCAACGCCATTGGTCATGCTGCAGCTACCGGCCCTTATTTTGGCGGAGTCGTGGAAAACGAGACGCATTTTATTGATATTCAGGTATCCGATGCATCAAACCACAATGATCTCTCTACATCTTCATTTCCAGCCAGTTATATTGATACTACTGGAAAAGGTAACAAGCTTTTCGCAGGCGACAGCAATTTCATGGTGAAAGATATAGAAGTTTACGGATGCGTTGTAAGTGAGAATGAAGACGAAAGGAAAAGGTGAACAATTTGTTGTTCTCTATCGATATGCAAATATTCAATATGATTTAAATAAAATATTCTTCAATGATATCTCTTTGAGACATGATATTTTTCTGTTCTATTCAGCTACATAATTCTGTAATAGCGAAATTCTTTCTATGATTTACAGTGTTGTCAAATCTTTCGTGTACACTATTCATTCTTTTCGGACGAAACAATAAATTTTTCATGGAAAATAAATTTACCTACACATTCAGACCTCCTCAGTTTAGGTTATATGCATGATTAAGAAGGAACATAAAAAACTCGCATAAAGATGTTTTGCGATATGTGTAAGATAAAAGGATCTATAAAATATCCGAGGAGAGAAAAGATAATAAAAATGCAGATTTTATTACTGGCAAGAAGAACGATGACGATATTACTTTCTCTGAATTTGTAATCAAAGGAGCACTAGTTCCGTTTTTTGAAGATTTTTTTTTATGACGAACTCGAACGTCATCGTTAGTAATCTTTGCCGATATAAAGACGATGATGCTCTGCAGAAAAATCATCAGAAATTCGCGGATGGAGTATCAACAAGTTGCACTGATCGTTCTCCTTACGATAATATCAATCAACGCATCACACTATCGGTAGGAGCACGCGTATCTTTCTGCTATGATCGTCAAATATTCTCACTTTAGGGGTGGTTCATTATCATGGAGTATTCATGACGATTCAACGAATGGATCATCGTCCACAGTCGTCGTTCGCATTACACAACGACATTCTTACCGCAAGACTTACTCGGTAAATACTTACTGCGATCAGACAACTATTGCTAACAACAATGTGATTGGTGATGGCAATGTGATATGTCTCGGCAATTGCTCCGGTTATTCAATCAATGGAACTTATTACATAATACCAACATTTGATACAAACGTACCATGTACTGATTACAGTGATGAATTTGACTACAGTAGCGGAGAGGGTTCGGTTGATGTGATTGTACCCAAAGATACTCGATTTACTTATGCGGTTCAAAGCTGTTGCTGGATATCTCTGTTACATGGTGGTAGCGATTGGTCATTAGCTTTGGTTGTCGATACTCATCAGCGTCGGAATGGAAAGTAGGTCTCCGAAAAAGCGTAATCAACTCTATCGTTTTCTTTTATCTCTGCAGATACAATAATTCACCGAAAACTTCATCGAGTCCAGTCGTTCAAGTACAAATTGGACAAACACACGTCATTCCTATTCCGATGGCAGACAGTGATGGCGATGCACTTCGATGCCGTTGGGGCCAGAACCTGATAGAATGTGGTGGCATTTGTGATCCCAAAGGTATTCTTCAACAGTTCCCCTGTCAGCTGTCATATGAAGCAACGACACTTGGCTATGAAGGTGTAGCGTTGGTCATCGAAGATTATGATCCAGTGACTAATGAGACGTAGGCANACAGTGATGGCGATGCACTTCGATGCCGTTGGGGCCAGAACCTGATAGAATGTGGTGGCATTTGTGATCCCAAAGGTATTCTTCAACAGTTCCCCTGTCAGCTGTCATATGAAGCAACGACACTTGGCTATGAAGGTGTAGCGTTGGTCATCGAAGATTATGATCCAGTGACTAATGAGACCTATTCATCTATTCCTCTTCAGTTTCTCATTCGAATCGTTAATCAAATTCCAGTCACCGTACCACCAGACTTCAACTACACAGGTGCTCCACTTTTACAACCATGCACTGTTCCTCCAGTGTACATTGGCGACCGACATCACGGAGCTTGTATCGGTGTAAAATCCAATTCCACAGTCATCGAACGTATTGTTGTTCGAGTTCCATGTAACGAATCTAGCACTACAATCACAGATATTCTCACTGTTTCTCCGCCTGGTATGAGCAAAAGTTCGATTTCATTAGATCCAGATGATAACAATACGTACATCATGTACATTCAATGGACTCCTCGACCAGATCAGTATGGTATTCATCAACTCTGCTTGACTCCGGTTGATTCCGTCGGCCAAACCGGTCAACAAGTATGTTATACATTTCAAGTCGATGTCGAACCACCCAACTTCATCAATGGATCAATGACGCCTCAAGGTCTCGTTCCACGAAATCAAGCCATCTGGTCGATCTCGACTGACCAAGACGTAATACCCCCTTCACAACGAGCAGCATACATTCGGTACTTCAAGCAAATGTCCAATGGTGCAGATGTAGAAGTTTTGCGTGTCAATGCAGCCGTAGACGTTATCTACCAAGCAAGACAGCTTGTAATCAACACGGGAAGTACTATATGGGAAGAGGTAAGAATTTTGGTGTGCTTTTGTTTTTCAATTACATCGTTTCTCGAATGTTTATCTAGGGTGCACAATATTATATTTTATTCGATAGTGGAATAGCATTAATTAATCAGTCCTGTGGTATCGAATCAGCACCTCTTGCAAACAAGTCTTTCTGGACCTTTCAGATTGCGGCGCCGAACAATACAACGCAAAAGCCTACCACTCGTAAGACTACCGTCACTACTACCCGCAGGACTACCATCACCACCACTCACAAGACTACTACAACGACAGCAATGACAACGCCACTTCCTTCTGTAACAACAACAACAACAGCAGGCGCAGTCATTACCAGCGGCATTCCTCCGAACGGAGTTTGCCCGAACTGGTTACCATTTGGCACCGTATTGAGCCTTACCAGTAGTGCACTTCAACCAAATTATACATTTTGTTTTACGGTCAACACAACATTTGCTGATGTAACAATCGCAGCAAACACTTGGGCTCCTTGTTCAACTTGGAAAATCTCCGGCACTGCTGATCCTCTTTTGGATTTATTCACTCCGGAAACAAGTACTGGCCCACCAGTAGCTCAGAATGATGACGGAAACAGTATTTCTCATTTAAATTGTTATGGAGCTGTGCTCAGCTATCGTCTTAAGAAAGGTAATCATCGAGTGATCGTTCGACATCAAAAATGCGCATATGGTAATTTTGAATTACGTTTATCAAGTGAAACTACCAATTCGCTTAAATAAACAATTAAAGACATATTTCTAACTTTCTTTCGTTTTCAAATATGCCGTTTTATTCATTTGTTACCAGAGTTCTTGTCTCGTTTTTTATTGCGTATTCAGACAAACGATAAAATGATTCTAATAGTCTTCTATTACTTTTCGATATTCTCAACGAGGGATCAAGACGAGCCCATCATTTCTTTATTGCTCTCTGTAAGACATACTTGTCAACAGTTGATTTATTAATCGTCAGAGAAGAAACCTTTCCAGTGAAATGTTTTACGAGTCAATGCAGGTGAAGAAGATATCCAGACAATGAGCTCAGTGCACGCAGATGGCCTATGTACTTACAGGAAACAAATGTATTCAGTGATTTCTTTTTGCTGAACATATATAATGACAATGAAAGCGGCAGTCATATACGAAAAGTCTACTGTTTGTTCTACATTGATCTATTCTTTGCATATGAAACAGACGGATATATTTTCCATGAAAATAAAACGTTTTAAACAGATTACTCATTCTTCTCGCTATAAAAATACTGAAAGGATATTGATATACGGCAATTAAACTTGTAGATTTGAATCGAACGAGAATTTGATTACTAGTCAGTGCACAGATGCGTTATATCGTAACAGACTGAACTGCTTCCAAATCATAGCGTTTAGAAATTAAAATATTTCATTTTCATGCTAGTAAGAAAAGAAATATAAAGACTGAAATGTCTTACTTATTTCATTTCACACGGTCGCTTTTGATTATTGGAATTTCTTTATCAACATTCTCTTTTTAGATATTGCTTTTATTTTTTTCGTGACTTTTTATTTAGGAATGAAAAACGTCTACAGTGTGATACACGTTATAAATCTAAAAAAATGAATATTTCGGATAGAATAACATTCGAATTGAATAGCATCAAATTCATTGTTGAAATTATTAAAGTGGATGTTTCACGGCATCGATAAGAATACTACCAACATGCGATATACGAGGTGAATGTGCATTGTTTCTAGTTTCGATTAGCTTTCTCACAAATCCTAAAGGATTTTTAAGAAAATGGCATCTTTGGAGTTGTAAAGCAGCACGATGCTCAAGTTTTTCTACAAATCCGTCAATATCGATCCATCCTTTCTCAAACGCATCTTTCTCAATGTCGCTACGTGGCTTTGGACATATTCCAAGATAGTGACAATAAGCTCTTTGCTCGCTCTCACTGTCGAAGTACAAAGTACCGTTAAAAACAAACAATGCAACTAGCCATTCATTCGGAACTGGAGAACATAGTGGTCTATGAGCAGGCACAATTGATGTCGGGGTTGTTAAGGAGGGCGTATTCACTAGAATTGATTGACCATGTCGAGTTCGCGGTAATATTAGACGCAATGTTGTTGTCAACAATTTCTGAGATGATTGTGTACGATACAGATTTCGTAATTGTTTCATGAGATGATTAGCTTCGAAAGAACTCACAAAAATGACGTGTTGGTTACGGTAGATTAGAATCCATCGTGGTGGACGTAAAAACAGATCTAATGATTCTCCCTGCGTTTGTATTACACGCTGGAATTCATCAGTGATCCATAGATTTTGTGGCCACCAATGTGGTTGGCATTCACGATAGAAGGTGGTACCAAGAAATGCATCGGCAATAGGATGAAGTACTGATCGTAATTTTGATAAATCTAACATTGGACTGTGCATATCACATAAGGCCATGATTTCATCGTGCAGTTTTGGTTCAACAGGGCGAACAACTGGTGGACGTTTCTGCTTTCGTTCTTCTTGTAATTCTTGTTCTCGCTCTAATTCTCGTTGTTGCTCTTCATCTAATAACTGCGTCTGAAGTTTTTTCAAACCGCCATAAGTACGTAATCGTTTGCACACCGCCTCATGAATATCGGCTGAAAGATTGATTTTAAAATGCTTATGACGTGCAAGATAAATCTCATATATATTCTGGAATACTTTTGATTCACCATACATGGACTTTAATTCTAAAGCCTCAGCTTCAAGGCATTCTTGAGCTATTTTATCCATCGTTGTTTTTGCAAATGTTTGTTTCTGCTTCCAATCAATGCATTGAAAAGCAGCCATTTTACGTTGAAAACTTAAACTTTGAGTTGCCCAGAGATGTAATCCATCCCATGTCGCTAGTTGGGTATTTTCGTATACCCAAAGAAGAATATCAGTCAGAGAGATTCGTTCGTTGACCGTGTCCTTCTTATTCAATGCACTTCTACTGTTCTTGATTGACCGAATCTGTTGATGAACTTCGTTCGAGCTCCAGAAACATAGCCAATGATGTTGACCCAGTTTTCTCATTCTCATACAAGCCTGAACTAAACGATCTTTAGTCAGACCACTGCCCAATGTGACCGCTGCTCGAAATTCGTTAGGAAACTTGAAATCTGTTCCTCGGGTGTGAATTTCATCCAAATAGAACACACAGCGATCAAGACGTTCACTTGCAGGTGATGTTAGAAAGGCGTGGTGTTGGTATTGACGATTACAAACGAATATAGCATCCGATTCGAAATATACAGCATAGTCAATTTTCGTTTTATCCGATAGCTGTAACCATTTATCAGCTATATCACGATTTGTTCCATCTATGAACAAAGCACCAACGTCCAGAATGACTTGAATCATTGGTTTCTCGGCGACTATTCGTTCCAGAAGTCCGTCGGAGTTCGTGCCGATTGGTAAAACTTGAAAATGATCATTTTTGGGACAAAGTAAGTTGTTGAGAACAATTGCGTCGGTCTTTAGAAGTTCTGGTAAATCATATTGCTGAATATGAACAGGTAATAACAACTGAGTGTCATTCGTACCACTGAAACCCGTGATTATTTTTTCACGTGACGACGATGATGATAAGTCCCAAGCAGAAGCGACTAACCTATGAGGAAATTGTTTTGCTTCTTGAGGAAAAACGAAATGATCAAGAAAATAATCTATGACAAACATATTGTAGCGAAATATAGGAAAAACAAGTTGGGTTCGTTGTTGATGATCTTTTAAATTGATTCTTTTCCATTGCTGTATACTTCCAATGACATCGCTTTCCTCCTCTATTGAAATCCACTGACCATAGATCAATTCCGGATCACTTTCATTTTGTTTCAAGCGATCGAAACACATGAGCATTTGTGCATCGGTTAAGCCTTGATAGTAGTACGAAAGCTGTGTTAATACAATAGCTACATCTGGATGTCCAAATTCGGTATTGTCGGCTGCAACGTCCTTCGCACGAAATGGAACAGCTATTAGACGATTGTATTTCCCGTTTTGATTTATACCGAAATTGACACGATAGCGTTTCTTCAAACAAATGTATAAGACTTCAGATGACAAAAGCCCGCGTAGAATCAAAAACGACTGAATTTTATCAAGCGGAAATTGATTAACTAGCCCGTCAAGCGATGCATTCGTATCCAAAATAAATGTTAGAATAAGTTTCTGCTCTGACTGTCGATAATTATTTTGTAGATCAATCCAGTCAGTTGCTATTCTTCGACATAGCTCAGAATATGGCTGGCTTTTAAGCATGCGAAATTGCGGAAAATGACTTCGTTTCAATGGCGCTTTGTAGAAAACATCATCAGCATACTGTTGAGCAATGTCTGCAGCATGTTGTTTGACTAACTTGAGTATGCATTGAATGGTTTTCCAGCGCTCTATGCCTCCATCTACCTGTTGTTGGCGACCGATAGAATAAATCAATTGATATTTAACATGTAAGATTTCATCAGACTCATCTAGAACATCACGAACATATTTTTTCATCCAGCTTTGAATTGCGAGCATCGATTGACCAACATCATACTCTTTCCGTCTACATTTATCTATTGTAAGCAAATCAAAGGATAAAATGTCTTCTGGTGACGTTAAGACAATATCGAGATGGCGCATTCCTTGTTTGAAGCGATCAAAAATCTTCTCCGTTTGTGTTTCAGTGAAAGCCATGTCACGACGGCAAGCAAATGGTACAACGCGTCGGTTTAATAAGCCGCCGAGTTTATATCGTAATGACTGGTAATTCATTGAAGATAATGCTTTTAAAACAATTATACGAACGAAACTCGAAGATGACGAACATAGACTCACTGCTAACATAGGTAAAATAACTGACGTCTTGCCTTCGCCCATGTTCATTTGCATAACGAAATTTCTAGTTGAAGAGTCATTCTCCTTTGGTAAAGGTTGAATCATGTGCCTTGCCACTTGAACTTGTACCTCTCGAATGGTGATGTTCATTTCTAGCTCGAGAATTAACCACGGTAGATACTCTGATGGTTTCCAATTGCTATGAGGTATGTTTAACATCTCTTTCTCAAAATCTTCCCGTTTGCGTTGATTGGCGAAATTCAGAGCTCTTTCAATATGTTGTTCTACGACCCAGTTCACTATTATACCACCGAGTAATGTACATTGATTGTGAGTCAAATGTAGTGAGAGTTCATTCGGATCTTTCTGATGTAACCATATTTGTTGAAAAATACAGATCAGAATTGTCGGTACCATTCGTTCTGTCAGACCTATTTTTACTAGCAGATCGTTTGTCATTATAATGGATTTGACCAGCTCATTCCACAACTGAAGAGATTGTTGACGTAGACAATCTAGGAAATGGGTGATTTCGTTGGGGAGTGGAAATTCTTGTTGGTATTCTTCCGTTGAACTGAAGTGTTTCCAGCTCTCAGTTAATTGCTTCTTAAAATAACCAATGATATCGCTAAGAGAATTAACTTGGGAATCAGTAGAAGGGAAGATTTCTTTAGGAAATTTCGTTTTTTCGGTTTTGACTGGAGTACGTTCGTTCAATTTAATAAAATAATCTGAATGGATCCGAGAAAACTTCATTCTTGCATTATCCAACAAGCTATTGTCGATGAATACCTCTGCGGAATTCAGACGGATTTGATAGTGCTTCTGGAATGATTCGAATTCAAAGTGTTGTGGACTGACATACATCTTGATATCCAATGGAACCGATTGGACGCAAAGGAGTTGAGCTTGAATATAATTTACAAACTCATAGAATTTGATATTTTCTCGCCATGATTTTAAAAGCATATTGATTTCGTGAGTATAATGGAATATCTGATTGATTTGTGGTTGAGTTTTATTTGTGTAAAAACAATTTTTATCAAAGCAATCTTCGATTTCTTGCAAAGCTATATGTCGTTTCTTATAACCGAGATTACCCAAGTTAACACGGGAACCTTCAAACGACTTTTCTTGAATATTCTTATATTCAGTGAATGCAGGGTAGGCGATGTTTCTCAGGACTGGAGTCGAATTTTTCAATATGGATCTCAGCAACTGTAAGTAATACGGTTGAATGGAACATTTATCTGAGATATAATGTAGAAAATGGAGTAACAACTCAAACCGTTCGATTTCTTGTTCCTTGATATCATCTTGGAGCTTTTTTATTTCCTCGATGAATTTAAACAAACCAATCCAGACGTTTTGAAGTTTATATTTATCGTTAATCCATCGAGATAAAGGAAAGCATGTCAGTTCTCGACTGTCCTTCAATGTGACATCTCCATTACTATATAAATCCGTGAGGCTAGAAGAACGGTAGTTTGTTGAATGCATATGAAATATTTTCCAAGTCGGTCGATATGATTGTGTCGAACTTAAAGAACGAATCTCTTCTTCCATTTGTGGAGACAAACGAGCTGTCGGATTGTAGGAATCTCGATAGTCCCAATAAAGTTTAGCTAGTAGTTTTTCATCATATTCTTTGCTTTCCAGAAGTTTTCCTATTTTCATATCTGTTGTAGCGGATGAAGGATGCATAAAATTCCATTCTTCGCTTGTTTCAATCATTTTCTTCACTATCAAGTAATAACCAAAATGTTGAATCGAATACGGCAATCTGCTGCCATTCCAATGAATAGTCATCATATAATGAAAATTCGGCGGATAGAAATTGGCTTTTGGTGAAATGATTGCAATTTGAACGAGAATGTTTTGAGTAATCGAATCATAAGGTTGATCAGACCAACAGCCGGCCGAATATAACAACTGAAACGCACGTTCCATACCAGTCATTCCTGTGTATTGATCGGGTAGAGGATGGGATGTCATTGCATGTAATAGTGCTAAATAGAGCCAACCTGCCGGACTGTCAGTCGGTTGAAGAATACGCAATCGATCGTTTAGAACGAAAACGAAATACTGATGTAACATCGATGCCGGTGGTGATTGACGATCGATCGTGACTGTTTGATGGTCATTAGTCGAGTTTTTTGTTGCTTGGATTTGTCCAAAAGGAACAATAAGCTTTCGACTTGAATAATGCGTCTGCTTTTGATTAACTGCTGCAATTGGCGAAAGAAGAAGACCGGATTGTAGACCAGTCAATGTTCCAAACCACTGATTTTCATCGACATACATATCAGAGTATTCACGAGAAGTTATAATGTTTTGGTTAAGGTCATATTTGAAAACGATTCCTAATCGGGAGAGGTGAATATGAATAAAATTGTTTTCTCCCAACATGTAAACATACGGTTCTTCGTCAAGACGAGTAAAATATCGAGTAAACAAACTCTGAAAGCACGACGACGTACGATTTATTAATATTTGTTCGTTTTCAAAGTACTTCGTCGTAATTAATCCCTTCTTCATTCTTAATATGTAGTGCTTTTCCGTCAAGAAATTCGCATCTTGAAAATAAATCGGTCGGAATTCAACTTTATGCTTCTGTACATCTCTCCAATGACTATAGTTCGAAACGAAGACATCTGGCAATTCTTCTTCAAAGCAACTCGTAGGTAATAGTTGAAATTTTTTGTCTGCTTTTAAGTGGTGCTCATAAACTATGACTCCTCGTGTATGATCATACGTAAATTCGTAATAAACATCATTGTTATGATATGCATGTTTGGTAATGTAACTACCTTGTGTTTCTGCTGCTTGCACTTCGAATACATGTTGACGAAAGACACGACGAAATAAGTCATTCGAAGTTATTTTATCAGGTAAAAAGCCGATAGTCATATCATTGACCAAGAATTTACCTCGTATACAATCAATAGACAATTTATTCGATTCATATTCGCCATCGTACCAGCCGTCATGTGCATCTCCATTTCTTTTCTTCCATTTTCCATTTATCATACCTTTAGTTCGTGCTACTGCCCAGTGTATAGTACAAAACTTGTTCAAACTTTCATACGAACTTTCTTGAATAATTTTGCTCATGCTTGGATGAATTCTCAGCAGTATGTATTCACCATAATATCTTAAATTTCTCATGAATACACCCATTTTCATTGTATCTTTGTTTAAAATACTGTTGTCATGTATAGTTGTTGCGATTACCAATAGAGTAACGATGTCGCTATTTATTAATTGTAAGGTATTGCTGCTATCGACATAGATTGCAAACGTGAGGAGATAGGTAATGCCAATAACGATAATTTTCTCACGAAGTGCATTGGCGCTATCAAAATCGGATACCGATCCGTGTTGGATACTTTTTGAAATAAGATCGATCCATTTTGCTCCTATTTGACGACATTTCATAACTAATTTCGTCATTTGATCTTTTCTTGTTGAGTTGCATATAGTGGATATTCTCATAGTGATTATTGTGATAATTACTAACATGAACTCATTTTGCCAATTACATTCACAATCTTTCAAATGACGATCCAATCTTAGGATTAATTCGTCAACAAACAAATCTTCTAATATTTGTTCATGTGACTCGGGACACCAGGAATGAGTCAATAACTGTGCATTTCTTGTCACTGGCCCGTATTGTAGAAGCGCATGGGTGATGAGTATGACAACACTTTCCTCATCCATTGATAATGAATCTAATTCGAGAATACTTAGTAAATTCCACCACTGCAAACAGTGACCAGACCGAAACGAACCGAATTCAACAAATTCATTTGGGTTTAGTTTCAATGAACATTTTGATAATTCGGCTATGACTTGATTTTGTACAAATGCCGTGCTACGAAGAGAGAATTGTAAATCTTTGTAATTGGAATCTATCAGGTTAGGCGTTAATGTTCGACATTCATCTTGAAATTCACATGGTTTCGTTGGAGATATTTGAACTTTTAGACTATTCTCATAGAAATATTCTTCAACAGGTGTTGATGCAATGCATCGTCCATTTGAATAATGACTTTCTGATATTGATTTCGTTTCTGATACTAGTTTTACTTTGTAATTTGATGAACTTTTGAAATAGTCCCTTAATTTACTTTTGTGAGGACGAGTACTCAACCATTCATGCATTTTATGTGCAGGAGTTGGATTTGGACGATTGATAAATTGCCAAAGTATATCACGATAACATCGAAATTCGCTGGGCATCTGTAGTTCAAACATTACTGCCAGGGCACTTTTACGTTCGTGCGGCATCGGACACTCGTAAATATCTAATTTTATATTATTTGCTTCCGTTATCGTTGCGCAACGACGACATTTTTTAAACCAAATTGATAATTCACATTCACATTCACATTCAAGACTGTTGGCTGTTTTCATAAGTCGTTCATATGACTCTTTGGCGTTGTGAACTTCTCTCAATTTGTCGTTTTGGTCTTGTGCGACTTGTTCTGCAATCTTTTTCAAATTTTCATTGATTTCTTCTGATTGATTGGCAAAATCAACACCGAATGCGTTTTCTGAATCGATGTCACTTAAAATATCAGGATACGACTTGCAGTTAAATTCAGAGAAATAATCGTATAAATATCGCGCTCGAATCATATCGTCTCGACTGGGTAAGATTAAGAATTCGAATAAGCTTAAAAGATTAGGAATTATAATCGCATGGTCTCTCAACCGTCTGAATCGTGGAGCTGCGCATAGTTTTACATGCATCAAGTGTATTATTGTCAACGAGGTTAGAATAAATCGACCGTAGCCAAATAAATCAGTGGATTCTTTGTTCGAAGAATAAAAATTTAGAGCTGCATTTTGATACTCTTCGTAAAAAGCTTGCAGATCCTCGAAACATTTGTAACCGATTCTTGACAATAACGAGCGATTGATCCATTTTTCTAAATGAAACTCGACCCACATTTCGATACGTGCCAATGTTATCTCCATAGCATCAGGCTCCTGTTTGATCAAGACTGAAATTCGAGGTAACACATCGGTTCCGTTAGTAACATTTGACGATGGCCCAAGACCATAGACAGATTTGCTATAGATACATGTTGAAGAAATACCAGAATGCAATCTATCGAGATAAGCATTTAATTTCATGCATGGATGATGGTAGAGAGCCTCCGGATTGAGATCGATTTGATATTGTAGTATGTTTTGTTTTTGATTGTCCTCGATCGGTTTTTGCCAATCGAATTTCGGAGTGACACGATCGATTTTCTCCTTGATACCTGTGAGCATATTTTGTACCCACGGAGTTATACCATTCGAATCGATCGATGATAGTAAAGTTTCGATTTTGCTTAGTCGTCGTACAATCTTCCGAAGACAAAACATGAGAAGATCAGTCGACAGCTGATAATCTGTTTGATATTGTTTTGTACAGATAAAATAAGTTAAGAAGTCAGTAACGAGTAATTTATAGACGATAATTCCAATGTCACCCAAACGTTTAGTTAAGATATTTTGGAAAACAACTTTCATGGTCATCCATAAACCTGATCGTCGAAATGGATATGTTGCGGTTTTGTATCGAATTTGATCACGATGTTTCTTTTTAAATGAAAATGGTGGTTTTGATGGAGAATCAGGTTGAACGCCTTGAAATTGTGTGATCCACCATTGACATACATAATGTGCTATTGGTACTTCTCGAATCTCATCAAATGTATAAGATGCTTTATGAGATTTCGGATATTCAATTGTATTATTCATAAATTCCGAAAGTAACTCACATTGAACGGTAGATACCAACTGAGTTCGATCAGGCAGGCGGAAGACAGGCACAGGAAAACAAGAAAAATGTGGTTCTAGGGATGATGTTATAGTTTCTGTTGGTAGAAGAACTTGCCAAGATGAAATCAATGGCTGATTGGGAGAATTCTTGTCGATTTCGATTAAAATTGCAGCATTTTGGGCATGAAAATAGAGTGGAAGAAATTCTCCGGGTGCTAATTTTTGTATGGTAGATTGTAGAAATGAAACAGAGCAATTCATGGTACTCTGTACGCTTGACCAACGCTCGATACAGGTTTTAAGAGTTGAGAAAATTGGCAAATCATTCTTTGCATCTATAGACTTCAAATATTCATGTGTACATTGGAGCAGTTTGTATTCATCTTGATGATCATTTTGAGTGAGGTAATCTTTAGTTGCTGAAGATGGTAATCTGTACGGAAGAAATAAATGATTTAGTATCGATTCATTCACGCCATGTGGATTGAATGCATTTTGATTAACACGAGAAGATGCAGAAGAAAATTTTGTTGAAAACATCTGTAAAAATAAGAAGAATTCTTCTCGACACTCTTTCACAAAATGAGTAACTTAAAATGTCATTACTTTTCTTACTGTTTTTCCTTTTCGTCTGCCTTTGCACACGCGACATTATGAGGGTGTAGACGAAGAAAAAAAAGAAATTCTTTTTCTTTAAATCTATCTTGTATATACAACAAGCCATAGGTTTATAAACGAAAGGCTATTTCGTAGTCGATAATGTAAAAATTGAAAAAATACGTATGAGTTTTGTGTCATCAATTGTCTCAAACGGGTAGTTTTAACTGGAAACAAGTGTAAAAGCTGTCACAACTTACTCGATCAAAACTAACTGAGATCTATTTCATCAGACTATAGTGCTAACATATTTATACGAATTCGCCACTGGGAAAAAAGAACAGATAATAATGCATTTCACCTCTAATCGATAACTCGCGAACGCTGAATAGATGTCGCTAAATGCTGGAATATCTATTCGTGGATGTGAATTATTGGTTATGATACAAATAGTTCCGTAATGATACGGATTTGTATGCTCAAAAGCAAAATCTCGTTCATCTTTCAGCTATAGCACAAGCCATATCAGATTTTTTCCCATTTCCTTCTAATGATTCATTTACACGCCTTTTTTTTCTTGATTGAAATAACTATTGATGATCATTGTTCAGCGGATAGTACAGTGATTAGATAAAATACACAACTACCTTGATAAGAAAGCAAAGGAATTGTAAAAGTAAGTAATAAAATATATGAATGTCTTTACTTTATCATCAATAAGAGCATGTAATTATAAATACATGAGTATCGTGTATATATCTCACTATTTCTAAGTGTCTCATTCACATTTTTCTTTATTGTAATGAAGAAAATATTTTATGCTTTCTATGGGCTTGTTGTTTTATTGTCCATCACCACGATTATTCTTGTAGCAGTTACTCTGGGAATAATTCTCAATCGTTTAGGTTCGAATAATGATAAATCCTTATCATTTGTTCGAGGAATCAAAAGTAATGATTTGATGAAACATTTGAAACAGCTTCAAATCATCGCCGATCAAAGTAATGGTACACGAGCGATAGGAACTCAAGGATTCAACAATACACTCGATTATATAACTAGACAACTGAAAGAAAATACAAATTTCCTACTTCATTATGAATATTTTCAAATCCCGAATAATGTTGTTCAAGGAACACCAGAGTTGCAATCAGAAATCAATGGTCTGATTGAAAATTACAATTACCTAACCGATTTTACTCATGTTTTATTTTCACCGAGTGGTTATTTACCTTCTCCTATTCGATTAGTTTCAATTCCAAATCTTGGATGTCAAGACGCGGACTGGTCTGGTGTCCTAGTCGGAGATTCAATTGCTTTGGTCAAACGCGGCGAATGTACATTTCCAGAGAAGTCTCTCTTAGCAGAAAAATATCGTGCGAAAGGTTTATTGATTTACAACGACGGAGCAGCATCAGATCGTTTTCAAGCTTATCGAAACGTACGAAGTCACGCAAATACAACGATACCGATCTATTTTCTGTCATACAATCTTGGCGTGAAATTTGTTACTGCTGCACTGGATGCAAGCAAAAATGCGAGTGTCATCATGAGAGTGGATGTCACTCATGCAGAAGGAATTGGAAATGTGTGCGCTGATACTCCAACAGGTGATTCCACAAAAACTATTGTAGTTGGCGCTCATAGTGATGGAGTTCTTGATGGAAGTGGAATCAATGATAACGGTAAAAATTCATTTTATAACCGTAGAATTTTGGTTTTCTTTACTGATGAAGTTATAGGTAGTGGTACGATTGGTACTTTGGTTTTAGCACTTGCGTTAGGTCGTCTACTTGGTACATCATCATCAAGTTACAGCCCATATCCATATCGTGTTCGTTTTTGTTGGTGGGGAGCAGAAGAACTTGGCCTACTCGGTTCGATTTATCATGTTGAACAGGCTGCTTTGTCAGGAAATCTACAAGATTATTTAGTCTATTTTAACTATGATATGTTAGCTTCTGCTAATTTCAACTTTGGGATTCTCGACAGCTTTGTAGTTCCACCCGGAACACCGTCAGAAGCACTACCAGGTACCACACGAATTACCGCGTTATTTCAACAATGGTTCGATGAAGAGAAACTCTTATGGACAAGATCAGGTATCGGCGGTGGCAGTGACTTTGTTCCCTTTCTAGTTCAAGGTATCGCGGCTGGCGGAGTTAGCACTGGAGCAAATGGTATTAAAACATCCATTGAACGCGACGACTATACCAACGCACTGGGAATAGACAATGCTGGACTAGCGAATGTTGCTTACGATTCATGTTATCATCAACAATGCGATCGAATAACTAATGTTAATCCGTTTGCCTACGAAAAAGTTGTACAGGCTGCTGCTTACGCTATTGAATATATGGGACGATTGAATGATTTAGAAAAATGGCTCTATCCACAAGGTCGTGTGAAGAATACTAATCAACAACAGAGACAATTTCCAATCTATAATGATCCTGATCTTTTCTAAGTTCATTTATTTACAATAAATTGCCATTCGTATCTGATTGGACTTTGTATGATTTGTCTAATTCTAGAATTTGCTATGTCAATATGAGAAGTTTTCTCTTAGAAAAGTAATGTTTGTCTTTTCATATTTAACTGACTTATAGGAAATCTCCTCCAGAAAGGACTTTTAATATGTAAATAACAATGGAAATATTGACACATCAGTTTTGTCATAAAAGTCTTTTTTTTTCTCACACAATCGGGGTGAACATTTCATCAAAAGAACATAAAATAAAAGATGTATATGATTTTGATTTATTTACTCTTTCCTGCAATGAATTCTCTTGTAATCGTTCGACTTCATCGGCAATCCATTTATCAATCAAACATTTCCTGTTCGTTTATTGACAACAATTCATTATCAATCAATCCATCAATTAACGAATGTATTTATACATGTGTTAACACGTACCGATGTCAAACAGCAGTGTATTTCAAGACGGAAAATATCTGTTCAATGTTTGCAGAAGTTTGTGATAGAGATTCGATAAAACCATCGGAGAATATTTCTGCAACTGTCATTTGTTATAAAAAAGATCATGGTAAAATGCAACTTTTGACAGATAAACGAAGCTTTGTACTACTGTTTTGCTTAGGATCTATTTTCACGTGTCCATCGACGGTAAATCACGGAACAACCTTGACAGAAGGTACCGTTGACATCTTTCTTCTCGCTTAGAAATCACTGACATATTTTCTCTGCTTTAGATGTCTCAGCTACTGCAATGACAGGAACAGGTAACGTTCATTTTCATGCTATGCGGTTTCGAAATGTGATGCTTACTATGACACTGAATATAATGTGCTTCTTTATTCATCCAAATAAAACGAAAATCATTTTTGATGCAGAAACGGATATTCAATTACATACAACTGAACCAAGATCCACGACTGTACTCTTTAGTAAGGAAAATCCATCATCAAGCAACTATCCATCTTACAATAATTATACGTATACTTGGGTAGCCACTAAAACATCAGCAACATTGTCTTTCTTTTTCCGCCATGATCCCGGCGGATGGATGTTAGATGATGTCAGTGTATCTCATGGCTCTACAGAATTAATCAACGATGGAGGCTTCGAAACGGGTAATTTAAATGCTTGGAACTATTCAGGTTCGTGTTGGTACTATACAGGACAAGCTTACAAGGATTCATCTTATGCCAAAAGTGGTAGCTATTACTATTACGACCGCTGTAGATCGCATGGCGACACTATAAGTCAAACATTTTACACGGTGATCGGTGAAACATATATTATAAGCTTTTGGTTAACTAACTATTATTGCTGCGGAAACACTGAAATTGCTTATGTCACAATAGTTTGAACTAAAAACATTCTTGATTACATTCTGTTTTAATAAAACAAAATATTTTTGATTATTTCCCTCCCAGGAAATTTCTGGGTTTGTGGCGTTTGTTACGTCCACATTCTGCACGTTACAAACGCATCATATCAAGTAGTTCAGAGTTTTATTTAAAAAAAGCAAATCCACTCGTGTCACTGGTCACTTTTCTTAGGTAGCATTCAGTTTATTTTCAATAGCGTGCAATGTTCCCTTCATCTCCTTCAGCATGTTTTCCAATTCACTCATCTTTAACACGTTAGCAGATGTTTTTTCATCGACTTGAACGCTTTGTTCAATCGTTGCACGTTGAATAGTCATCATCTCTGGCAAACCGATTAGATTATCTGGCAGTCGTGAGCGCGCTTGTTTGATCTGTCGAACAGCAGATATCGATCCCAAAAACTTCTTCTCCATGTTGATGTATGCAATAGATCGGTCTCTCCCCAGTCTCTTCAATCGCCACATTTTCCATGCATACTTTATGAGATTCGCTGCTTCACTCTGCTGTTCTTTGGCTAATTCTATGTTCAACACAAAGCTGTAGATATACTTTTCCCAGCGACTCAACAACAGCTTCTGTGACAAAACAGTGATGAGAAAAGCAGTCATTGTCACACCCATCAGTGCAGTTAACGTCGCCACACCTAAAACAACACTACTTATATCTAGTCCGATCGAACTTCAACTCTTACCTCGTCCACAGTATGTCGTCGGAATAAGATCACCATAACCTACGTACAATACACATCATCATATCCATTTGTTATCTGTCTATCGACGACTACTTACCGACAGTTGTGAACAATGTGAAGAACAACCACATCGAGTTGGAAATCGACAGATGCTGATGAGTGCTTGTGTAATTGCATGATCGAAATGACCAGCTGCCAATGCAAAACATAACAAAACAAATAGTGCCCAAACAGAATCCCGGTGACTGCTCAAGGTAAGCTTTCATGACAAAGAAGAAGTTAATCGGCACTTTGTTAAGATAACCGATCGATCGCGACGACGAATCTCGAAGAAAGTGCGAATGAAATGTCACTGTACGACACAACAAGTACAACCGAGCAAACACTACAAGAATACCGATGAACAAGTGATCGACGAGTTAATCGATGCTTACTTGGCAAACCGAGAGCAACATCAATGGGAATGAATGAGAGAGGAATAATGGCTGGTACAGGATCGGTTGACTTGTCGTGAGTGAGCTGAGATGGTAGGTAGTTATAGTGAGAAAATGGATGAGGAAAGGGATGAATGGCACAGATGATGATTTCCACAATGATCTGGGTGACGCGTGGACGTGTCAATGCAACATACCAATATTGCAAAGATTTGTTGACAGAGAAAAGAAGCATGTCTAAATAGTGATAATAGACAATAAGACAAATGAGAGCAATGGTAGACAGAGTGATGGTGAGTTTGATGAACCAGGTGATGGAGGTTGGATGATGAGGAAGTGTTGTGAAGTAGATTTCATTGGTGAAGATCATGAGAGCGATGCCAGACAAAGCGAGTACACACATGATATCATTCACTAAACAACTATGTCGAGAAAAGTGAGAATAGAGAGAACAAAAGAGCAATGAATGACTGACCATCTGGCTTGTAGTTTTTTACGCTTTGTTAATCGACGACTAACTTCTGCTAGTTCTTGACTTATGTCAGACATTTTGGATTTCGTTTTATTTCGTCTTTGATAAGTGCCATCTTTATTACCATCGAACGATCTATGCCGATGAAAGTCCAAATTGACAGAGGTAGATGAATTTGAAGGATTTTCTCCATGTTGTTTCTCAAGATGATTGTTATTACTTGTTGGTGTGATGATCAATGGTTCAGATGACTTGAAATCTAAATCCATACGCGATAAAAAGATAGTCACAAGACTTTTGCTCGATCTACAAAAGTCTTTAAAAAGGAGAAATTTTATTCCAAAACCGCAGATGAGAAATGCTCTTTTGTTATAGGGAGAAAAAATTATTCTGACCTAAACGGTAGACGTTATTTGTTTTCGTTATATATAGTAATTTGTAAAGTCACATAATCGTATGCTTCAGTTTCTAACGTTAGAATATATGTTGGTCATGGTACACTACAAAAACGTCATCGAGAATATAATCAGGAATGCCTATAAAGAAAATAAAGTCTCAAGTATAGTGATACTGCTTTTGTGTATCTTTTCAGCCGAGTACTTGATGTGTTATTCTCAATAAACTTTCAAATCTACAGTAAGACCTATCCACATGAAGCAATCAACCGTACAGTATTGTATACACAACGTAATCCAATATACTTTTGTACATATTTTTCTCTCACGTTTTTTTCTCATCGTGTTATGATATACATTATTTTTCCTTGTAACGCTTGTTTTGACGAAGCACAACAAAAAAAAGGGATATATTCGTACGGCGTGTATCTTTCACTGTGTAATCTATACATCACAGTAGATGGCGATTTCAGTATGACAATTGTATCATGCTTTTGCTTTCGGATTGGTTATTCTTCTAGGGGATGTGTATTACGACGATCACTGTAATTAGTCGTTACTATGTGTTTTAAGGTTGTATGTGACGGTAATCAAAACAAAAGAATAAAGAGAAAAAAAGGACATCGAAGGATGCTTTCTGTTTTTATAATTCAATATAAATCTACAGTTAGGAATGAAAGAAAGAGTGTATTATTTGTGTACAGATGTCATAGTACTCGTTCACATCTCGACGAGGTGCTAACAGAGGAAATTAAGGAATATGGTGAGATTTTTTTTCTATCTTTATTCTAGTAACAGTAACAAAGGAGAAAATATGGTGATGGATTCAGTATCAATGAAAATACACGCCATGCTTCACTCTTTTAATCAACTGTCTTTTGATTTTAATGTGATATATGAGATACAAAAAACAAGAGATACTCACATACCAATTCTGAAGACAGAGGCAAAGATACTTCATGGCCTTCATAGAATATTAAACCAAGTGATACATAAAAAATAATTTCTTTCTCTTCGAAAATATTTTGCTCGAATATATTAATGAAATGTGAAAGATTTTTTTCATCGATAACAATTACCAATGTGTAATTACGACGAACATTTCTATTCGAAAATATGACTGTTATATGAGTCATCGTGACCCATATAGTTTACATTAGTTCACTATGAAAATTTACGATTCACGTTTTTTCGTTTTATAACTAGCGTGAAGGTAATACCCTTAGCACATATGATATACAATCTTCTCATAGAATTAGAATACTACATGTTAAACAGAATTTAAACGTCGAATCATCATCTGATCAGCTTGAACGTTATTCCTCCATTGTCCCAGATGATTTTCAACGAAATGAAATTGTTTATAATATGCTTTACGATAGAACACGAACAGTGGATTTCGTATTAGAAATGCGACCATTTGCCATTTGCGAATCACTTGTCTCTTTCTCCTTCGAATTTTTTCTTCTTCATCTTGCGAAACCAACTCATTTGACATCACCAAAGGATTAACAACGGAACTAAGTCTAGACTTCGTTTTGTTCGTTTCAAGTAAACAAGCAGCAAACAGTAACAACACTGGATGTCGATGAGTACATTCCGTATGAATGAAACCACAATACGCATTGAAACCATCATCCCAAGTTTCCAATTTTCGACCTAGAGGAGAGTAATCCAATCGACACATGTAAAAAATACCGCCCACGACACTTTTGAAAAGTCGACGAACCGATGAAAACAAACCAAGAAACGCATCGAGAAAGAAATTGAAGTAGAGAAATATCATCAGAACACGCCGATTGTTCACCGCTAAAACATCGCCGTCATCTTGAAGAAATGCAAAACGGGCAAGGCACTTATTTAAATACGCTTTGAAATAAGCAATCAACAGCACTGGAATAACATATTTCAGAATCGATTCGACAATCGGAAACAAACGAAATGAAACGACAAAGTCAATAAAAACCAAAACAACAAACAGAAATGATATAATTAATATAAGACCCCACAAAGCGTAAGCAATTAAATAGCCCGCAAAATGGAAATTTCCCGTTGCATATGTTCTATAATTTGATCGGTTCCGTCGAGGAATTTCCGATTGATCACCTCGATAAACTTGAAACAAATTTCGACGTATACTCGCCAATAGCAGTAAGAGTTGAATAACAACAACACTTGATCCAATCAGTGCAGCTAAGAGAAACGGACGAACCAGTACAGGTACAGTATGAGTTGATTGACTGCTACGAGAATTACTGATCAGATTTTGAATCAGTTGTTGCAATTCGGTCATATATGGTAATATCTGAACACATACTTGAATTAAGAAGAAATAGAGAAAGAGAAATACTGATGAGTAGAGACAAAGGATACGAGATGAAAATCGAAAATCACTTCGCCATTGGTAAATCCATCGATTAGAGGACGTGCGTTCATTCGAACGAAATAAATTTTTTACATACATCATTTCTACAGAATTGACTTGTAAGGCGCTTAAGAGCACCTTTTCTTCACGTGTTAAATTATCAGCTTTGACTTCAAAAAAGAACTTCGTTCGAACTCTCCGCGACAATTCAACGATGACGTATGATAAACATATGTATCGAGGTATATCAGTTAACAAATCAACCATTTGAAGAAAAGATCCCGTACCGTAATATTCGAATAAATAACTTAAATATGTATCATTCGTTTTCTGAGCATTCTCATAGTATCTAGGTTGACACATGCCTTGTTCGACGATCGTCATGGGTAAATCTATCCACGAATACAACGTGCCGAGAAGTAAGCTCAATCTTGAATCGATGTAGACTGCAGCTAGGATTGGATAATAGCGAAACCCCATTAGTAAAACTTCGAAGATTTGTTTAAGATAAACAACTACAATACCACGGTCAGTTGAATGTGTTCTACTTAATTCTTCATTTGCGATTTCTAACAATTCGTTTGCGGTAATAGCGAATGTAACAGCAACGAATGTTCGATTTATGTTAGTGAAAAAATCCAGAGGCACAGGAGGAAAATAGTAATCGAACTTGTTCTTCTTTGCTCCGAACAGGAATCGTCTGTATTCAATGGCAAAGATAAAAATCACTAAGCAAGATATAGGAAACATAATTAAATTCATTCGTTGATAATTAATCGCTTGACAAACTGGGTGAGGTTTGTAGAACAACGAACGATTGTGACGATATTGATCGACGATTGTATTGTGAATTGATTGTAGTAGAAACCATTTGATGGTTAATCCTGATGCTGCAAGAATCATAATTAGAACTATGAACACATATGACGAAGGACGAAGATGGAATGGCATTCCAATTGAAAATCGACTGTCATACGTTTTACTTTGTTTCTCTTTCTTTTGTTGTTCTCTCCTGTTTCTTCTACGAAAGATAATTAAACCGTAATAAACTGACATGAGAACGCCTAATAAACAACCAAGAATGATCACTTGAACTCCACTATTGGTTACTAGAATACAGCGATAAGACTCGTCAAATTAATGGGCTCTTATCTACTTACATTCGTCGCAACTTGCTCCAGACCACCAGAATTTACATGAGCAATAATAATCACCTCGTTCATTCTTTTCGCAATATCCATTCCTCCCGCATGGATTCGACGTTGAACAGTCTTAACATAGACTTAGCGTTGAAAAGGAAATGACTAAATTGACTTACTTAATTCTGGATTAGACATAAACAATATTTCGATCTTCGACAAGAATTTCTACTGATACTCTTTGATGAAAGCGCAGTTTCCAAATAAAGTGACTAATATTTCTCGCGTTACCTTTCTTTTCAGGCACCTTATTTACTTTGTATAACTATGAATCAAGAGGGCGATAACTGCATATAGTTCGTGAGTAAAAAGACGTCATTAAAAAGAGTTTTATCTATTTAACGTGCACCTTTATTTTGTTTCGAAACGAACACATTACCTCAAGCAGTTTGCTAGTTTTGAAAAATGATGAAAATAGGCTACAGAAAAGAAAAAGACACTCAGGAGTTGTTCTATAATCGTCGCCGTCGTCGTTGACAAATTTGAAAGAATGATTCTTTGAAAGTTTTTCGATACGAATTTGATGGGAGTACAAATACAACGAAGATCAGTATCGATGGTGTGAATGAAACAAAATAGCCGCAAATATATAACCATGTATGACTAGAGACATCGGCACATCCTGATAACAAAGATATAATCAGACGCGGTGTTGAAAGAACAACTAAAATTATAGGACTGATGACAAGTTGTTTCTGTTCATTCCATTGTTCGCGAAGATGATCTTTATACGATCGCTGTTTCTGAGCTTCTGCTCGTCGTCGAGCACTCCTAATAATGATGACTAACGAAGACAAAATATTTGCAATGAATGGGCCAAGGAGATGAATGAAGAGAATGCCTGTGTTGTAACCTTGAAGCCATTGAGAATATGAAGTTACGCACCAGGTGGAAGTACCTATCTCGATATCTTCGTCAATGTTATAGTTTTCGCTGTACGGCTTCCGTTGTTTTACTTCATGTTTGAACATTTTGCGGTATATTGATTCATGAATAACCGTCCCCACAATCACGATGGGCAAAATGAAGATGCTCCATCGAGCAAAGCGCTTACTCTTCTCTTTATCAAAACTCACTCCTTTGTAAACACTCATTCCACGTTCCACTGCTACACATGCATTCAGCCAAGCATCCCAATAGAAGAATAACTTGAGAAGAGTTTCAATCGACTTACATCCACCTTCAACAACGGACAGACGAACAGACAGATCCATTTGTGTCACAACGACAAACCAAAACTTGACTGTGAACAAAATGATTGTTACAAGAGAAGTAACCGACGACGCAAGAAGGTACAAACCACAGCCAACTGTTTGTGACTTCACATTTTGNAAATTATACATTTTGTTTTACGGTCAACACAACATTTGCTGATGTAACAATCGCAGCAAACACTTGGGCTCCTTGTTCAACTTGGAAAATCTCCGGCACTGCTGATCCTCTTTTGGAATTATTCACCCCGGAAACAAGTACTGGTCCACCAGTAGCTCAGAATGATGACGGAAACAGTATTTCTCATTTAAATTGTTATGGAGCTGTGCTCAGCTATCGTCTTACGAAAGGTAATCATCGAGTGGTCGTTCGACATCAAAAATGCGCATATGGTAACTTTGAATTACGTTTATCAAGTGAAACTACCAATTCGCTTAAATAAACAATTAAAGACATATTTCTAACTTTCTTTCCTTTTCAAATATGCCGTTTTATTCATTTATTACCACAGTTCTTGTCTCGTTTTTTATTGCGTATTCAGACAGACGATAAAATGATTCTAATAGTCTTTTATTACTTTTCGATACTCTCAACGAGGGATCGAGATGAGCCCATTTCCTTATTGCTTTCTGTAAGACATACTTGTCAACAGTTGATTTATTAATCGTCAGAGAAGAAACCTTTCCATTGAAATGTTCTACGAGTCAATGAAGGTATAGAATATATCCAGACAATGAGTTCAGTGCGCGCAGATGGTCTATGTACTTACAGGAAACAAATGTATTCAGTGATTTCTTTTTGCTGAATATATATAATGACAATGAAAGCGGCAGTCATATACGAAAAGTCTACTGTTTGTTCTATATTGATCTATTCTTTGCATATGAAACATAGACGGATATATTTTACATGAAAATCAAACGTTTTAAACAGATTACTCGTTCTTCTCGCTATCAAAATACTGAAAGGATATTAATATACGACAATTAAACTTACAGCTTTGAATCGAACGAGAATTTGATTACTAGCCAATGCACAGATGCACTATATCGTAACAAACTGAACTACTCTCAAAACATAGCGTTTAGAAATTAAAATATTTCATTCTCGTGCTAGTAGAAAGAGAAATATGAAGATTGAAATGTCTTACTTATCTCACTTCACGCAGTCGCTTCGGATTATCGAAGTTTTTTTTTGTCAACCTTTTCTTTTTAGATATTGGTTTTATTTTTTTCGTGACTTTTTATTTAGGAATGAAAAAGGTCTACAGTGTGATACACGCTATAAATAACAAAAAAATGAATATTTTGGATAGAATAACATTCAAATTGAATAGTGTCGAAGTCATTGTTAAAAATATTAAAGTGGATGTTTCACAGCATCGATAAGAATACTACCAACATGTGATATACGAGGTGAATGTGCATTGTTTCTGTTTTCGACTAGTTTTCTCACAAATCCTAAAGGATTAGTAAGGAAATGGCATCTTTGGAGTTGTAAAGCAGCACGATGCTCAAGTTTTTCTACAAATCCGTCAATATTTACCCATCCTTTCTCAAACGCATCTTTCTCAATGTCACTACGTGGCTTTGGACATATTCCAAGAAAGTGACAATAAGCTATTTGCTCGCTCTCACTTTCGAAGTACAAAGTACCATTGAAGACAAACAATGCTACTAGACATTCATTCGGAACTGGAAAACATAATGGTCTATGACCAGGCACAATTGATATCGGGGTTGTTAAGGAGGGCGTATTCACTAGAATTGATTGGCCCTGTCGAGTTCGCGGTAATATTAGACGCAATGTTGTTGTCAACGATGTCTGAGATGATTGTGTAGGATACAGATTTCGTAATTGTTTCATGAGATGATTAGCTTCAAAAGAACTCACAAAAATGACGTGTTGGCTACGGTAGATCAGAATCCATCGTGGTGGACGTAAAAACGGATCTAATGATTCTCCCTGCGTTTGTATTACACGCTGAAATTCATCAGTGACCCATAGATTTTGTGGCCACCTATGTGGTTGGCATTCACGATAGAAGGAGGTATCAAGAAATGCATTAGCAATAGGATGAAGTATTGATCGTAATTTTGATAAATCTAACATTGGACTGTGCATATCACATAAAGCCATGATTTCATCGTGTAGTCGTGGTTCAACAGGGCGAACAACTGGTGGGCGTTTCTGCTGTCGTTCTTCTTGTAATTCTTGTTCTCGCTCCAATTCTCGCTGTTGCTCTTCATCTAATAACTGTGTCTGAAGTTTTTTCAAACCGCCATAAGTACGCAATCGTTTGCACACCGCTTCATGAATATCAGCTGAAAGATTGATTTTAAAATGCTTATATCGTGCAAGATATATCTCATATATATTCTGGAATACTTTTGATTCACCATACATGGACTTTAATTCTAAAGCCTCAGCTTCAAGGCATTCTTGAGCTATTTTATCCATCGTTATTTTTGCAAATGTTTGGTTCTGCTTCCAGTCAATGCGTTGAAAAGCAGCCATTTTATGTTGGAAACTTAAACTTTGAGTTGCCCAGAGATGTAATCCATCCCATGTCGCTAGTTGGGTATTTTCGTATACCCAAAGAAGAATGTCAGTCAGAGAGATTCGTTCGTCGACCGTGCCCTTCTTATTCAATGCACTTCTGCTTTTCTTGATTGACCGAATCTGTTGATAAACTTCGTTCGAGCTCCAGAAATATAGCCAATGATGTTGACCCAGTTTTCTCATTCTCATACAAGCCTGAACTAAACGATCTTTAGTCAGACCATTGCCCAATGTGATCGCTGCTCGAAATTCGTTAGGAAACTTGAAATCTGTTCCTCTAGTGTGAATTTCATCCAAATAGAACACACAGCGATCGAGACGTTCACTTGCAGGTGATGTTAGAAAGACGTGGTGTTGGTATTGGCGATTACAAACGAATATAGCATCCGATTCGAAGTATACAGCATAGTCAATTTTCGTTTTATCCGATAGCTCTAACCATTTAACAGCTATATAACGATTTGTTCCATCTATGAACAAAGCACCAACGTCGAGAATGACTTGAATCATTGGTTTCTCGGCGACTATTCGTTCCAGAAGTCCGTCAGAGTTCGTGCCGATTGGTAAAACTTGAAAATGATCATTTTTGGGACAAAGTAAGTTGTTGAGAACAATTGCGTCGGTTTTTAGAAGTTCTGGTAAATCACATTGCTGAATATGAACAGGTAATAACAACTGAGTGTCATTCGTACCACTGAAACCCGTGATTATTTTTTCACGAGACGACGATGATAAGTCCCAAGCAGAAGCGACTAACTTATGAGGAAATTGTTTTGCTTCTTGAGGAAAAACGAAATGATCGAGAAAATAATCTATGACAAGCATATTGTAGCGAAATACAGGAAAAACAAGTTGGGTTCGTTGTTGATGATCTTTTAAATTGATCCTTTTCCATTGCTGTATACTTCCAACGACATCGTTTTCCTCCTCTATTGAAATCCACTGATTATAGATCAATTCCGGATCACTTTCATTTTGTTTCAAGCGATTGAAACACATGAGCATTTGTGCATCGGTTAAACCTTGATAGTAGTACGAAAGCTGTGTTAATACAATAGCTACATCTGGATGTCCAAATTCGGTATTGTCGGCTGCAACGTCCTTCGCACGAAATGGAACAGCTATTAGACGATTGTATTTCCCGTTTTGGTTTATACCGAAATTGACACGATAGCGTTTCTTCAAACAAATGTATAAGACTTCAGATGACAAAAGTCCACGTAGAATCAAAAACGACTGAATGTTATCAAGTGGGAACGGATTAACTAGCCCGTCAAGCGATGCATTCGTATCCAAAATAAATGATAGAATAACTTTCTGCTCTGACTGTCGATAATTATTTTGTAGATCAATCCAGTCAGTTGCTATTCTTCGACATAGTTCAGGATATGACTGGCTGTTAAGTATGCGAAATTCCGGAAAATGACTTCCTTTCGATGGCGCTTTGTAGAAAACATCATCAGCATACTGTTGAGCAATGTTTGCAGCATGTTGTTTGACTAACTTGAGTATGTATTGAATAGTTTTCCAGCGCTCTGCACCTCCATCTACCTGTTGTTGACGACCGATGGAATAAATCAATTGATATTTAACATGTAAGATTTCATCAGACTCATCTAGAACATCACGAACATAGTTTTTCATCCAGCTTTGAATTACGAGCATCAATTGACCAACATCATACTCTTTCCGTCTACATTTATCTATTGTAAGCAAATCAAAGGATAAAATGTCTTCTGGTGACGTTAATACAATATCAAGATGGCGCAGTCCTTCTTTGAACCGGTCAAAAATCTTCTCCGTTTGTGTTTTAGTGAAATTCATGTCACGACGACAAGCAAATGGTACAACACGTCGATTTAATAAGCCGCCGAGTTTATATCGTAATGATTGGTAATTCATTGAAGATAATGCTTTCAAAACAATTATACGAACGAAACTTGAAGATGTCGAACCTAGACTGACCGCTAGCATAGGTAAAATAACTGACGTCTTGCCTTCGCCCATGTTCATTTGCATAACAAAATTTCTAGTTGACGAGTCATTCTCCTTTGGTAAAGGTTGAATCATGTGCCTTGCTACTTGAACTTGTATCTCCCGAATGGTGATGTTCATTTCAAGCTCGAGAATTAACCACGATAGATGCTCTGATGGTATCCAATTGCTATGAGGTATGTTTAACATCTCTTTCTCGAAATCTTCCCATTTGTGTTGATTAACGAAATTTAGAGCTCTTTCAATCTGTTGTTCTACGACCCAGTTCACTATTATACCACCGAGTAATGTACATTGATTGTGAGTAAAATGTAGTGAGAGTTCATTCGGATCTTTCTGATGTAACCATATTTGTTGAAGAATATAGATCAGAATTGTTGGTACCATTCGTTGTGTCAGACCTATTTTAACTCGCAGATCGTTTGTCATTATAATGGATTTGACTAGCTCATTCCAAAACTGAAGAGATTGTTGACGTAGACAATCTAGGAAATGGGTGATTTCGTTGGGGAGTGGAAATTCTTGTTGGTATTCTTCCGTTGAACTGAAGTGTTTCCAGCTTTCAGTTAATTGCTTCTTAAAATAACCAATGATATCGCTAAGAGAATTAACTTGGGGATCAGTAGAAGGGAAGATTTCTTTAGGAAATTTCTTTTTTTCGGTTTTGACTGGAGTACGTTTGTTCAATTTAATAAAATAATCTGAATGGATCCGAGAAAACTTCATTCGCGCATTATCCAACAAGCTATTGTCGATGAATACCTCTGCGGAATTCAGACGGATTTGATAGTGCTTCTGGAATGATTCGAATTCAAATTGTTGTGGACTGACATACATCTTGATATCCAATGGAACTAATTTGACACAAAGGAGTTGAGCTTGAATATGATTTACAAACGCATAGAATTTGATATTTTCTCGCCATGATTTTAAAAGCATATTGATTTCGTGAGTATAATGAAATATCTGATTGATTTGTGGTAGAGTTTTATTTGTGTAAAAACAATTTCTATCAAAGCAATCTTCGATTTCTTGCAAAGCTATATATCGTTTCTTATAACCGAGATTACCCAAGTTAACACGGGAACCTTGAAACGACTTTTCTTGAATATTCTTATATTCAGTGAATGCAGGGTAGGCGATGTTTCTCAGGACTGGAGTCGAATTTTTCAATATGGATCTCAGCAACTGTAAGTAATACGGTTGAATGGAACATTTATCTGAGATATAATGTAGAAAATGGAGTAACAANATTAACTGCTGCAATTGGCGAAAGAAGAAGACCGAATTGTAGACCAGTCAATGTTCCAAACCACTGATTTTCATCGACATACATATCAGAGTATTCACGAGAAGTTATAATGTTTTGGTTAAGGTCATATTTGAAAACAATTCCTAGTCGGGAGAGGTGAATATGAATAAGATTGTTTTCTCCCAACATGTAAACATACGGTTCTTCGTCAAGACGAGTAAAATACCGAGTAAACAAACTCCGAAAGCACGACGACGTACGATTTATTAATATTTGTTCGTTTTCAAAGTACTTCGTCGTAATCAATCCCTCCTTCATTCTTAATATGTAGTGTTTTTCCGTCAAGAAATTCGCATCTTGAAAATAAATCGGTCGGAATTCAACTTCATCTGTGTCTGCATCTCTCCAATGACTATAGTTCGAAACGAAGACATCTGGTAATTCTTCTTCAAAGCAACTCGTAGGTAATAATTGAAATTTTTTGTTTGCTTTTAAGTGGTGCTCATAAACCATGACTCCTTGTGTATAATCACACGTAAATTCGTAATCAACATCATGGTTATGGTATGCATGTTTGGTAATGTAACTATCTTGTGTTTCTGCTGCTTGCACTTCGAATACATGTTGACGAAAGACACGACGAAATAAGTCATTCGAAGTTATTTTATCAGGTAAAAAGCCGATAGTCATTCCATTGACCAAAAATCTACCGCGTATGCAATCAATAGACAATTTATTCGATTCATATTCGCCATCGTACCAGCCATCATGTGCATCCCCATTTCTTTTCTTCCATTTTCCATTTATCGTACCTTTAGTTCGTGCTACTGTCCAGTGTATAGTACAAAAGTTGTTCAAACTTTCATACGAACTTTCTTGAATAAGTTTGCTCATGCTTGGATGAATTCTCAGCAGTATGTATTCACCATAATATCTTAAATTTCTCATGAATACACTTATTTTAATTGTATCTTTGTTTAAAATACTGTTGTCATGCATAGTTGTTGCGATTACTAACAAAGAGACGATGTCGCTATTTGTTAATTCTAAGGTATTGCTACTATCTATATAGATTGCAAACGTGAGGAGATAGGTAATGCCAATGACGATAATTTTCTCACGAAGTGCATTGGTGCTATCAAAATCGGATACCGATCCGTGTTGGATACTTTTTGAAATAAGATCGATCCATTTTACTCCTATTTGACGACATTTCATAACTAATTTCATCATTTGATCTTTTCTTGTTGAGTTGCATATGGTGAATATTCTCATGGTGATTATTGTGATAATTACTAACATGAACTCATTCTGCCAATTACATTCACAATCTTTCAAATGACGATCCAACCTTAGGATTAATTCGTCAACAAACAAATCATCTAATATTTGTTCATGTGACTCGGGACACCAGGAATGAGTCAATAACTGTGGATTTCTTGCCACTGGCCCGTACTGTAGAAGCGCATGGGTGATGAGTATGACAACACTTTCCTCATCCATTGCTAATGAATCTAATTCGAGAATACTTAGTAAATTCCACCACTGCAAACGGTGACCGGACCGAAACGAACCGAATTCAACAAATTCATTTGGGTTTAGTTTCAATGAACATTTTGATAATTCGGCTATGACTTGATTTTGTACAAATGCCGTGCTACGAAGAGAGAATTGTAAATCTTTGTAATTGGAATCTGTCAGGTTAGGCGTTAATGCTCGACATTCATCTTGAAATTCACATGGTTTCGTTGGAGATATTTGAACTTTTAGACTATTCTTATAGAAATATTCTTCAACAGGTGTTGATGCAATGCATCGTCCGTTTGAATAATGACTTTCTGATATTGATTTCGTTTCTGATACTAGTTTTACTTTGTAATTTGGTGAACTTTTGAAATAGTCCCTTAATTTACTTTTGTGAGGACGAGTACTCAACCATTCATGCATTTTATGTGCAGGAGTTGGATTTGGACGATTGACAAATTGCCAAAGTATATCACGATAACATCGAAATTCACTGGGCATCTGTAGTTCAAACATGACTGCCAGGGCACTTTTACGTTCGTACGATATCGGACATTCGTAAATATCTAATTTCATATTATTTGCTTGCGTTATCGTTGTGCAACGACGACATTTTTGAAAAGAAATTAATAATTCACATTCACATTCAAGTCTGTTGGCTGTTTTCATAAGTCGTTCATATGACTCTTTGGCGTTGTGAACTTCTCTCAATTTGTCATTTTGGTCTTGTGCGGCTTGTTCTGCAATCTTTTTCAAATTTTCATTGATTTCTTCTGATTGATTGGCAAAATCAACACCGAATGCGTTTTCTGAATCGATGTTACTTAAAATATCAGGATATGACTTACAGTTAAATTCAGAGAAATAATCGTATAAATATCGCGCTCGAATCATATCGTCTCGACTGGGTAAGATTAAGAATTCGAATAAATTTAAAAGATTAGGAATTATAATCGCATGGTCTCTCAACCGTTTGAATCGTGGAGCTGCGCATAGTTTTACATGCATCAAGTGTATTATTGTCAATGAGGTTAGAATAAATCGACCGTAGCCAAATAAATCAGTGGATTCGTTATTCGAAGAATAAAAACTTAGAGCTGCGTTTTGATACTCTTCATAAAAAGCTTGCAGATCCTCGAAACATTTGTAACCGGTTCTTGACAATAACGAGCGATTGATCCATTTCTCTAAATGAAACTCGACCCACATTTCGATACGTGCCAATGTTATCTCCATAGCATCAGGCTCGTGTTTGATCAAGACTGAAAATAGAGGTAAAACGTCGTTTCCGTTAGTAACATTTGACGATAATCCAAGACTATAACCAACTCTGTTGTAGACATGTCTTGAAGAAATACCAGAATGCAATCTATCAAGATAAGTATTTAATTTCATACATGGATGTCGGTAGAGAATCGTCTGATTGAGATTGAGTTGATATTGTAAAGTGTTTTCTTTTTGATTCTCCTCGATCGACTTTTGCCAATCGGATTTTGGAGTGATGCGGTCAATTTTTTCCTTGATATTTGCGAGCATACTTTGTGCCCACGGAATAATATCATTCGAATCGATCGATGATAGTAAAGTTTCGATTTTGCTTAGTCGTCGTACAATCTTCCGAAGACAAAACATGAGAAGATCAGTCGACAACTGATAATCTGTTTGATATTGTTTTGTACAGATAAAATAAGTTAAGAAGTCAGTAACGAGTAATTTATAGACGATAATTCCAATGTCACCCAAACATTTAGTTAAGATGTTTTGCAAAACAACTTTCATGGTCATCCATAAACCTGATCGTCGAAATGGATACGTTGCGGTTTTGTATCGAATTTGATCACGATGTTTCTTTTTGAATGAAAGCGGTGGGTTCGATGGAGAATCAGCTTGAACACCTTGAAATTGTGTGACCCACCAGTGACATACATAATGAGCTGTTGGTACTTCTCGAATCTCATCAAATGTATAAGATGCTTTATGAGATTTCGGATATTCAATTGTATTATTCATAAATTCCGAAAGTAGCTCACATTGGACGGTAGATATCAACTGAGTTCGATCAGGCAAGCGGAAGACAGGCACAGGAAAACAAGAAAAATGTGGTTCTAGGGATGATGTTATAGTTTCTGTTGGTAGAAGAACTTGCCAAGACGAAATCAATGGCTGATTGGGAGAATTCTTGTCGATTTCGATTAAAATTGCAGCATTTTGGGCATGAAAATAGAGTGGAAGAAACTCTCCGGGTGCTAATTTTTGTATGGTAGCTTGTAGAAGTGAAACAGAGCAATTCATCGTACTCTGTACGCTTGACCAACGCTCAATACAGGTTTTAAGAGTTGAGAAAATTGGCAAATCATTCTTTGCATCTATAGACTTCAAATATTCATGTGTACATTCGAGTAATTTGTATTCATTTTGATGATCATGTTGAGTCAGGTAATCTTTACTTGCTGAAGATGGTAATCTGTACGGAAGAAATAAATGATTTAGTATCGATTCATTCACGCCATGTGGATTGAATGTATTTTGATTAACACGAGAAGATGTAGAAGAAAATTTTGTTGAAAACATCTGTAAAAACAAGAAGAATTCTTCTGGACACTCGTTTACAAAATGAGTAAAATAAAAGGTTGTCTGTGTACCCGTTTATTCATTACCTTTCTTACTGTTTTTCATTTTCGTCTGCATTTGCACACGCGACATTATAAGGGTGTAGACGAAGAAAAAAAAGAAATTATTATTGTTTAAATCTATCTTGTATATACAACAAGCCATAGCTTTATAAACGAAAGACTATTTCGTAGTCGATAATGTAAAAATTGAAAAAATACATATGAGTTTTCTGTCATCAATTGTCTCAAACGGGTAGTTTTAGCTGGAAACAAGTGTAAAAGCTGTCACAACTTACTCGATCAAAACTAACTGAGATCTATTTCATCAAACTATAGTTCTAGCATATTTATAGAAATTCGTCACTGGGAAAAAAGAACAGATAATAATGCATTTTACCTCTAATTGGCAACTCGCGAACGCTGGATAGATGTCGCTAAATGCTGAAATATCTATTCGTGGATGTGAATTATTGGTTATGATACAAACAGTTTCTTAATGATACGGATTTGTATCCTCAAAAGCAAAATCTCGTTCATCTCTCAGCTATAGCACAAACCATATCAGATTTTTTTCCATTTCTTTCTAATGATTCATTTACACGCCTTTTTTTCTTGATTGAAATAACTATTGATGATCATTGTTCAGCGGATAAGTACAGCAATTAGATAAAATACACCACTACCTTGATAAGAAAGCAAAGGAATTGTAAAAGTAAGTAATAAAATATATGAATGTCTTTGCTTTATCATCAATAAGAGCACGTAATTATAAATACATGAGTGTCGCGTATATATCTCACTATTTCTAAGTGTCTCATTCACATTTTTTTTTATTGTAATGAAGAAAATATTTTATGCTTTCTATGGGCTTGTTGTTATATTGTCCATCACCACGATTATTCTTGTAGCAGTTACTCTGGGAATAATTATCAATCGTTTAGGTTCGAATAATGATAGATCCTTATCATTTGTTCGAGGAATCAAAAGTGATGATCTGATGAAACATTTGAAACAGCTTCAAATCATCGCCGATCAAAGTAATGGCACACGAGCGATAGGAACTCAAGGATTCAACAGTACACTCGATTATATAACTAGACAACTGAAAGAAAATACAAATTTCCTTCTTCATTATGAATATTTTCGAATCCCGAATAATGTTGTTCAAGGAATACCAGAGTTACAATCAGAAATCAATGGTCTGATTGAGCATTACAATTACCTAACAGATTTTACTCATGTTTTATTTTCACCGAGTGGTTATTTACCTTCTCCTATTCGATTAGTTTCAATTCCAAATCTTGGATGCCAAGATACGGACTGGTCTAGTGTACTAGTCGGAGATTCAATTGCTTTGGTCAAACGCGGCGAATGTACATTTCCAGAGAAGTCTCTCTTAGCAGAAAAATATCGTGCGAAAGGTTTATTGATTTACAACGACGGAGCAGCATCAGATCGTTTTCAAGCTTATCGAAACGTGCGAAGTCACATGAATACGACGATACCGATTTATTTTCTGTCATACAATCTTGGTATGAAATTCGTTACTGCTGCACTGGAGGCAAGTAAAAATGCGAGTGTCATCATAAGAGTGAATGTCACTCATGCAGAAGGAATTGGAAATGTGTGCGCTGATACTCCAACAGGTGATTCAACAAAAACTATTGTAGTTGGTGCTCATAGTGATGGAGTTCTCGATGGAAGTGGAATCAATGATAACGGTAAAAATTCATTTTATAACCGTAGAATTTTTGGTTTACTTTATTGATGAAGTTATAGGTAGTGGTACGATTGGTACTTTGGTTTTAGCACTTGCGTTAGGTCGTCTACTTGGTACATCATCATCATCATCATCATCAAGTTACAGCCCATATCCATATCGTGTTCGTTTTTGTTGGTTGACAGCAGAAGAACTTGGCCTACTCGGTTCAATTTATCATGTTGAAAAGGCTGCTTTATCAGGAAATCTACAAGATTATTTAGTCTATTTTAACTATGATATGTTAGCTTCTGCTAATTTCAACTTTGGAATTCTCGACAGCTTTGTAGTTCCACCCGGAACACCGTCAGAAGCACTACCAGGTACCACACGAATTACCGCGTTATTTCAACAATGGTTCGATGAAGAGAAACTCTTATGGACGAGATCGGGTATCGGTGGTGGCAGTGACTTTGTTCCATTTCTAGTTCAAGGTATCGCGGCTGGTGGAGTTAATACTGGAGCAAATGGTATTAAAACATCCATTGAACGCGACGACTATACCAAAGTACTAGGAATAGGCAATGCTGGACTAGCGAATGTTGCTTATGATTCATGTTATCATCAACAATGCGATCGAATAACTAATGTTAATCCGTTTGCCTACGAAAAAGTTGTACAGGCTGCTGCTTATGCTATTGAATATATGGGACAATTGAATGATTTAGAACAATGGCTGTATCCACAAGGTCGTGTGAAGAATACTAATCAACAACAGAGACAATTTCCAATCTATAATGATCCTGATCTTTTCTGAGTTCATTTATTTGCAATGAATTCCCATTCGTATCTGATTGAACTTTGCATGATTTTTCTAACTATAGAATTTTCTATGTCAATATATGAGGTTTTCTCTTAGAAAAGTAATGTTTGCCTTTTCATATTTAACTGACTTATAGGAGATCTCCTCCAGAAAGGACTTTTAATATGTAAATAACAATGGAAATGTTGACACATCAGTTTGGCCATAAAAAGTCTTTTTTTCTCACACAATCGGGGTGAACATTTCATCAAAAGAACATAAAATAAAAGATGTATATGATTTTCATTTATTTACTCTTTCCTGCAGTGGATTCTCTTGTAATTGTTCGACTTCATCGGCAATCCATTTATCAATCGAACATTTCCTGCTCGTTTATTGATAACAATTCATTATCACTCGATCCATCAATTAACGAATGTATTCATACATGTGTTAACACGTACCGATGTCAGACAGCAGTTTATTACAAAACGGAAAATATCTGTTCAATGTTTGCAGAGGTTTGTGATAGAGGTTTAATAAAGTCATCGGAAAATATTTCTGCAACTGTCATTTGTTATAAAAAAGATCATGGTAAAATGCAGCATTTGAGAAATAAACGAAAATTTGTATTATTGTTTTTCTTAGGATCTATTTTCACGTGTCCATCGACGGTAAATCAGGGAACAACCTTGATAGAAGGTACCGTTGACGTCTTTCTTTCCGTTTAGAAATCACTGGCATTGTCTCTGCTTTAGATGTCCCAACTACTTCAATGGCAAGAACAGGTAACGTTCATTTTCATCTCATGTTTTCGAAATGTGATGCTTACTATGACACTGAATATGCTGTGCTTCTTTATTCATTCAAATGAAACCAAAATCATTTTTTGTGTAGAATCAGTTATTCCGTTACGTACAACTCAACCAAGATCCACGACTGTACTATTTAGTATTACAAATCCATCATCAAGCAACTATCCATCTTACAATAATTATACGTATACTTGGGTAGCCACTGAAACATCAGCAACATTGTCTTTCTTTTTCCGCCATGATCCCGGCAGATGGATGCTAGATGATGTCAGTGTCTCGCACGGCTCTACAGAATTAATCAATGATGGAGGTTTCGAAACGGGTAATTTAAATGCTTGGAACTATTCAGGTTCGTGTTCATACCATAAAGGACAAGCTTACAAGGATCCATCTTATGCCAAAAGTGGTAGCTATTACTATTACGACCGCTGTAGATCGTATGGCGACACTATAAGTCAAACATTTTACACGATGATCGGTGAAACATATATTATAAGCTTTTGGTTAACTAACTATGATTGCTGCGGACACAATGAAACTGCTTATGTCACAATAGTTTGAACTAAAAACATTCTTAATTACATTCTGTTTTAATAAAACAAAATATTTTTGATTATTTCCCTCCCAGGAAATTTCTAGGTTTGTGGCGTTTGTTGCGTCCATATTTTGTACATTACAAGCGCATCATATCAAGCAGTTCAGAGTTTTATTAAAAAAAGCAAAGCCACTCGTGTCACTGGTCACTTTTCTTAGGTACCATTCAGTTTATTTTCAATAGCGTGCAATGTTTTCTTCATCTCCTTCAGCATGTTTTCCAATTCAGTCATCTTTAACACGTTAGCAGATGTTTTTTCATCGACTAGAACGCTTTGTTCAATCGTTGCACGTTGAACAGTCATCATCTCTGGCAAACCGATTAGATTATCTGGCAGTCGTGAGCGCGCTTGTTTGATCTGTCGAACAGCAGATATCGATCCCAAAAACTTCTTCTCCATGCTGATGTATGCAATAGATCGATCTCTCCCCAGTCTCTTCAATCGCCACATTTTCCATGCATACTTTATGAGATTCGCTGCTTCACTCTGCTGTTCTTTGGCTAATTCTATATTCAACACAAAGCTGTAGATATACTTTTCCCAGCGACTCAACAACAGTTTCTGTGACAAAACAGTGATGAGAAAAGCAGTCATTGTCACACCCATCAGTGCAGTTAACGTCGCCACACCTACAACAATACTATTTATATCTAGTCCGATCGAACTTCAACTCTTACCTCGTCCACAGTATGTCGTCGGAATAAGATCACCATAGCCTACGTACAATACACATCATCATATCCATTTGTTATTTGTCTGTCGACGACTACTCACCAACAGTTGAGAACAATGTGAAGAACAACCACATCGAGTTCGAAATCGACAGATGCTGATGAGTGCTTGTGTAGTTGCATGATCGAAATGACCAGGTGCCCATGCAAAAGATGACAAAACAAATAGTGCCCAAACAGAATCCCGGTGACTGCTCAAGGTAAGCTTTCATGACAAAGAAGAAGTTGATCGACACTTTGTTGAGATAACCGATCGATCGCGACGACGAATCTCGAAGAAAGTGCGAATGAAATGTCACTGTACGACACAACAAGTACAATCGAGCAAACACTACAAGAATACCGATGAACAAGTGATCGAAGAGCTAATCGGTGCTTACTTGGCAAACCGAGAGCAACATCAATGGGAATGAATGAGAGAGGAATAGTGGCTGGTACGGGATCGGTTGACTTGTCGTGAGTGAGCTGAGATGGTAGGTAGTTATAGTGAGAAAATGAATGAGGAAAGGGATGAATGGCACAGATGATAATTTCCACAATGATCTGGGTGACGCGTGGACGTGTTAATGCAACATACCAATATTGCAAAGATTTGTTGACAGAGAAAAGAAGCATGTCTAAATAGTGATAATAGACAATAAGACAAATGAGAGTAATGGTAGACAGAGTGATAATGAGTTTGATGAACCAGGTGATGGAGGTTTGATGATGAGGAAGTGTTGTGAAGTAGATTTCATTGGTGAGGATCATGAGAGCGATGCCAGACAAAGCGAGCACACACATGATATCATTCACTAAACAACTATGTCGAGAAAAGTGAGGATAGAGAGAATAGAAGTGCAATGAATGACTGACCATCTGGTTTGTAGTTTTTTACGCTTTGTTAATCGACGACTAACTTCTGCTAGTTCTTGACTTATGTCATACATTTTGGATTTCGTTTGATTTCGTCTGTGATAAGTGACATCTCCATTACGATCGAACGATCTATGTCGACGAAAGTCCAAGTTGACAAAGGTAGATGAATTTGGAGGATTTTCTTCATATTGTTTGTCAGGATGATTATTATTACTTGTTGGTGTGATGATCAGTGGTTCAGATGACTTCAAATCTAAATCCATACGCGATAAAAAGATGATCGCAAAACTTTTGCTCGATCTAAAAAAGTCTTTAGAAAGGAGAATGAGAAATGCTCTTTTGTGATACGGAGAAAAAATTATTCTGACCCAAACGGTAGACGTTATTTGTTTTCATTATATATGATAATTTGTAAAGTCGCATCAGCGTATGTTTCAGTTTCTAACGTTAGAATAGGTGTTGGTCATGGTACACTACAGAAACGTCATCGAGGATATAATCAGGAATACTTATACAGAAAATAAAGTGTCGAGTACACAGTGATATTGCTTTTACGTATCTTTTCACTAGAGTACCTTATGTGTTATTCTCGATAAACTTTCAAATCTAAAGTAAGGTCTATCCACATGAAGCGATCAACCGTACAGTATTGTATACACAACGTAATTCAATATACATTTCTACATATTTTTCTCTCACGTTTTTTTCTCATCGTGTTATGATATACATTTTTATCTTTCCTTGTAACGCTTGTTTTGATGAAGCACAACAAAAAAACGGATATATTCGTACGACGTGTATCTTTCACTGTGTAATCTATACATCACAGTAGATGACGATTTCAGTATGACAACTGTATCATGCTTTTGCTTTCGGATTGGTTATACTTCTAGGAGATGTGTATTACAACGATCGCTGTAATTAGTCGTTACTATATGTTATAAAGTTGCATGTGACGTTAATCAAAACAAAAGAATAAAGAGAAAAAAAGGACATCGGAGAATGTTTTCTGTTTTTATAATGCAATATAGATCTATACAGTTAGGAATGAGAGAAAGAGTGTATTATTCGGGTACATATGTCATAGTGCTCGTTCATATTTCGACGAGGTGCTAGCGGAAGAAAACGGTGAGTTTTTGGTATTATATTCTGGTAACAGTAACAAAGGAGAACATATGGTGATGCATTCAGTATCAATGAAAATACACGCCATGCTTCACTCTTTCAATCAACTATCTTTTGATTTTAATGTGATATATGAGATACAAAAAACAAGAGATACTCACATACCAATTCTGAAGACAGAGACAAAGATACTTCATGGCCTTCATAGAATATTAAACCAAGTGATACAAAAAAATAATTTCTTTCTCTTCGAAAATATTTTGCTCGAATATATTAATGAAATGTGAAAGATTTTTTTCATCGATAACAATTAGCAATGTTTAATTACAGCGAACATTTCTATTCGAAAATATGACTGTTATATGAGTCATCGTGACCCATACATTTCACATTAGCTCACTATGAAAATTTACGATTTACATTTTTTCGTTTTATAACTGTGGTGTGAAGGTGAGACCCTCAGAGCATCTGATCTACAATCTTTTAATAGAATTAGAATACTACATTTTAAACAGAATTTAAACGTCGAATCATCATCTGATCAACTTGAACGTTATTCCTCCATTGTCCCAGATGATTTTCAACGAAATGAAATTGTTTATAATACGCTTTACGATAAAACACGAACAGTGGATTTCGTATTAGAAATGCGACCATTTGCCATTTGCGAATCACTTGTCTCTTCCTTCTTCGGATTTCTTCGTCATCTTGCGAAACCAACTCCCTTGACATCACCAAAGGATTAACAATCGAACTAAGTCTAGACTTTGTTTTGTTCGTCTCAAGTAAACAAGCAGCAAACAGTAACAACACTGGATGTCGATGAGTACATTCCGTATGAATGAAACCACAATACGCATTGAAACCATCATCCCAAGTTTCCAATTTTCGACCTAGAGGAGAGTAATCCAATCGACACATGTAAAAAATACCGCCCACGACACTTTTGAAAAGTCGACGAACCGATGAAAACAAACCAAGAAACGCATCGAGAAAGAAATTGAAGTAGAGAAATATCATCAGAACACGCCGATTGTTCACCGCTAAAACATCGCCGTCATCTTGAAGAAATGCAAAACGGGCAAGGAACTTATTTAAATACGCTTTGAAATAAGCAATCAACAGCACTGGAATAACATATTTCAAAATCGATTCGATAATCGGAAACAAACGAAATGAAACGACAAAATCAATAAAAACCAAAAGAACAAACAGAAATGATATAATTAATATAAGACCCCACAAAGCATAAGCAATTAAATAGCCCGCAAAATGGAAATTTCCCGTTGCATATGTTCTATAATTTGGTCGGTTCCGTCGAGGAATTTCCGATTGATCACCTCGATAAACTTGAAACAAATTTCGACGTATACTCGCTAATAGCAGTAAGAGTTGAATAACAACAACACTTGATCCAATCAGTGTAGCTAAGAGAAACGGACGAACCAGTACAGGTACAGTATGAGTTGATTGACTACGACGAGAACTACTAATCAGATTTTGAATCAATTGTTGCAATTCGGTCATATATGGTAATATCTGAACAGATACTTGAAGTAAGAAGAAATAGAGAAAGAGAAATACTGATGAGTAGAGACAAAGGATACGAGATGAAAATCGAAAATCACTTCGCCATTGGTAAATCCATCGATTAGAGACCGTGTGTTCATTCGAACGAAATAAATTTTTTACATACATCATTTCTACAGAATTGACTTGTAAAGTACTTAAGAGCATCTTTTCTTCACGTGTTAAATTATCAGCTTTGACTTCAAAAAAGAATTTCTTTCGAACTCGCTGTGATAATTCAACGATGACGTATGATAAACATATGTATCGAGGTATATCAGTTAATAAATCAACTATTAGAAGAAAAGATCCCGTACCATAATATTCGAATAAGTAACTTAAATATGTATCATTCGTTTTCTGAGCATTCTCATAATATCTAGGTTGACACATGCCTTGTTCGACGATCGTCATGGGTAAATCTATCCAAGAATACAACGTGCCGAGAAGTAAACTCAGTTTTGAATCAATGTAGACTGCAGCTAAGATTGGATAATAACGAAAACCCATTAGTAAAACTTCGAAGATTTGTTTAAGATAAACAACTACAATACCGCGGTCAGTTGAATGCGTTGTACTTAATTCTTCATTTGCGATTTCTAACAATTCATTTGCGGTAATAGCGAATGTAACAGCAACGAATGTTCGATTTACATTAGTGAAAAAATCCAGGGGTACAGGAGGAAAATAGTAATCGCACTTGTTCTTCTTTGCTCCGAACAGGAATCGTCTGTATTCAATGGCAAAGATAAAAATCACTAAGCAAGATACAGGAAACATAATTAAATTCATTCGTTGATAATTAATCGCTTGACAAACTGGGTGAGGTTTATAGAACAACGAACGATTGTGATGATATTGATCGACGATTGTATTGTGAATTGATTGAAGTAGAAACCATTTGATAATTAATCCTGATGCTGCAAGAATCACAATTAGAACTGTGAACACATATGACGAAGGACGAAGATGGAATGGCATTCCAATTGAAAATCGACTGGCATAAGTTTTACTTTGTTTCTCTTTCTTTTGTTGCTCTCTTTTGTTTCTTCTACGAAAGATAATTAAACCGTAATAAACTGACATGAGAACACCTAATAAACAACCAAGAATGATCACTTGAACTCCACTATTGGTTACTAGAATATGGCGATGAGAATCATCAAATTGATGGGCTCTTATCTACTTACACTCATCGCAACTTGTTCCAGACCACCAGAATTTACAGGAGCAATAATAATCACCTCGTTCATTCTTTTCGCAATATCCATTCCTTCCGCATGGATTCGACGTTGAACAGTCTTTACATCAATTCAGCATTGAAAAGGAAAGGATTAAATTGACTTACTTAATTCTGGATTAGACATAAACAATACTTCGATCTTTGACAAAAATTTCTACTGATACTCTTTGACGAAAGCGCAGTTTCCAAATAAGGTGACTAATATTTCTCGCGTTACCTTTCTTTTCAGGCATCTTATTTACTTTGTGTAACTATGAATCAAGATGGTGATAACTGCATATCGTTTGTGAATAAAAAGACGTCATTGAAAAGAGTTTTATCTATTTAACGCGTACCTTTATTTTATTTCAAAACGAACACATTACCTCAAGCAGTTTGCTAGTTTTGCAAAATGATGAAAATAGGCTACAGAAAAGAAAAAGACATTCATGAGTTGTTCTATGATCGTCACCGTCGTTGTTTACAAATTCGAAAGAATGATTCGTTGAAAGTTTTTCGATACGAATTTGATGGGAGAACGAATACAACGAAGATCAGTATCGATGGTGTGAATGAAACAAAATAGCCACAAATATATAACCATGTATGACTAGAGACATCGGCACATCCTGATAACAAAGATATGATCAGACGCGGTGTTGATAGAAAAACTAAAATTATAGGACTGATGACAAGTTGTTTATATTCGTTCCATTGTTCGCGAAGATGTTCTTTGTACGAGTGTTGTCTTTGAGCTTCTGCTCGTCGTCGAGCAGTTCCAATGATGATGAATAATGCAGAGAGAAGATTTGCAACGAATGGGCCAAGCAGATGAATGAAGAGAACGGCTGTGTTGTAACCTTGAAGCCATTGAGAATATGAAGTTATGCACCAGGTGTAAGTACCTATCTCGATATCTTCGTCAATGTTATAGTTTTCGCTGTACCACTTCCGTTGTTTTACTTCATGTTTGAACATTTTGCGATGTATTGATTCATGAATAACCGTCCCCACAATCATAATCGGTAAGATGAAGATGATCCATCGAGCAAAGCGCTTACTCTTTTCCTTGTCAAAACTCACTCCTTTGTAAACACTCATTCCACGTTCCACTGCCACACATGCATTCAGCCAAGCATCCCAATAGAAGAATAACTTGAGAAGAGTTTCAATCGACTTACATCCACCTTCAACAACGGACAGACGAACAGACAGATCCATTTGTGTCACAACGACAAACCAAAACTTGACTGTGAACAAAATGATTGTTACAAGAGAAGTAACCGACGACGCAAGAAGGTACAAACCACAGCCAACTGTTTGTGACTTCACATTTTGAAAAGTCAAAATGGAACAAGCACTATTGATGACACCTGCCACAAACATGATGACTGAGAGAGCAGCAGTGACTTTGATGAGAAGTGGTTGATCTTGTATTGTCACGTTTCGATTGACTTGTAGTCGTAGGATATCGTCGAGAGTGAGACCAATACTTTTTACTTGAGTGTTACATGAGCCACCGACATAACAATATGTCGAGTTGTCGACTAAACGAAATCAATGAAACAGTAATTATGCGAAAATCTAGATAAATCATAAGATTTATATATATCCAGTTCGCCATAATCTCTTACTCCACATTAGCTGTCCGCCCGGACAACATCAAGAACGTGAGGATCAGAAAAATAGTGCTTCGGATGGATAGAAACATTATTCGCACCACAACTTTGTATTTCAAGCAAGATGTCATCGATACTTACCAATACGTTCCAAAGTAACATTTGTCGGACCATATATATCGATTGAGAACTGTGTTTCCTGCGTTGGATAAAGAGTTGTCACAAGTAATATGTACACACTATTAGGCTGAAGATGAATTGTACGTTTTATCTTCGCGTTATCGGTAGTGCAATTGAGTTGATTGATGGAAATTGAATTGTCATGTGGGTTCAATGGATCAAAATGACTTTTATAGACGTACAATTGTATAAAAGGACTATTTCTAAATGACAAGCCATAGAATGCATCGGTGGGTACGGTCAGTCGTAAAGTTTCATAGAAAAAAGCGTTTTGATCACAATCTTTATGATACTGTTGACTAGCGTTCGTTAGTTCAGATGAATAACTCGAGCGAGCAGCTGATGAAGCATCTATTTACAAATAAAAAAAATCAACCTTTGCTTGGCCATACATTTTACGTGATATGTTTTTTACAATCAACACTTCTCCACTAGTGATCATGGAGATCATATGCGTGCTACTCACTTAAAAGCCGGAGACTGACATTCTTTCTGCCGATGATTTTGAACGAGAACTTCCCAATTATGTTCCACGAACATGTTGTTACAACCAAGACGTATCGAATGTTAGATAGAAAGTCGACGGTGATTTGACGTTGACTATGATCCTGGCAAACATCGTGTCTTTTGAATAAATAATCGATTGCAATGAATTTATAAAAATCATGTTTATAGATACGAATTGAGATGCTTGTGTTCATGTCTTCAACGTTGTTCATAACAGTATACAAACCACTCTCACTCACATTCATTTCTATTGCTTCGTAAAAGCCAGGAATCATTATGTCGCAAGGATGAGGAAAATATTCGTCATGCTGTTGTGTCAGTTCAGATGTGTAGATTGATTCGACGGATTGGTTCACATCTATTCAGCACAAAAAAAGTATCGTCATCGCCCATGTCTATATTCTATCAATTAATGCAAAACACAAGAAAAAGTCTTTAGTCTCATTCGGTATCAAACTTCAGTCAAAAGATCTCAGTCATCGCTATATGTAGATACTCAAATCCTTTCCTTTTACACACTACTGCCGCAAATTTCACCAGCTATGAGCGATATTGCCAGCTACCGCTATCGATGAACTGCTTTTTGTTTGCTCTCGTTGTGTATATGATACTCACTGATGCATTCAAGACGAACTTTGTTTGAACCGAGTATCGTCACCGAGAATGGACCTGTCACATTTGGATTGTATGTTGTTACAACCAAGATGTATGTCGTGTTGACAACAAGTTCAACTGTGAATCTGAACTGATCTTGGTTGCAACATTGACCATGCCATGCAATCAAATTATGTGTAGGATTGTATCGATCAAAATGATGCTTGTACAGATGACCATAGAGATCAACACTGCTAGTAGCAGTCAGGATGTAGAAGTCAGTTTTATTAACAAATACTTTAATGACTTCCAAGTGATAACGTGGATGAGGAAATAGAGTTCGAGAATACATTGCGTGATTTTCCGTCAAGATCGACGAATAAAGTGCTTGAGGTAATAGTGGGACATCGTCTAAATGAAAAAAAAGAAACATTTGAAAGCTGTATGAACCTAAACTCTTGATCGCAATACTCCAATGCAGAGAAATATGTGCCACGACGAAGTTTTATTATCTAAAAACATTTCATACTCAAGACAAGAATCTTTCTGCTTATGAAATTTTTGAGGTCGATAATTCATGCGATCGACAACAAATATGTTTCCATAGACATCAAAACTAAAAATTGTGGACCAAATGAATTGATGAGATTCTTCGCCATATCCATCACGCCCAAATAAGCGGCGAAATCCATTTGGTCCAGACGCAACAATATCATGATTGTCACGATCCACAATGAAGAGATATTTGTCAGCATCTAATAAAATCGACTCTGGATAATTGAGTGGAATTGTGATATCTGATGAACTCGCTCCTGCCACTGTTTTTGCATTTTTTTCACGAAACGAAAATCGTTGAATTCGATGGTTGAAGTGATCTGCCACATATAAATCGAGATTTGTATCAACAAAGATTCCTCTAGGAACAAAGAGATTACCTGGGCCGGAGCCCTGATTGCCTGTACCAGCTACAACCATTGCCATCTTCTCATCGTCTAATGATCTTTTCATTACTGTATGAGACCGAATTGCTGAACAATATAAATAATTATTAACATCGATGAAAATATAAACACAGTTGTCTTCAAAGTCTGGAATATCAGTAAAATTGTTATTACTTTGTGTCCATTTGATGATTTTGCTGCTATCAAAACTGATATAAATGTCCCGCTTGTTGGNAAATAATCGATTGCAATGAATTTATAAAAATCATGTTTATAGATATGAATTGAGATGCTTGTGTTCATGTCTTCGACGTTGTTCATAACAGTGTACAAACCACTCTCACTCACATTCATTTCTATTGCTTCGTAAAAGCCAGGAATCATTATGTCGCAAGGATGAGGAAAATATTCGTCATGTTGTTGTGTCAGTTCAGATGTGTAGATTGATTCGACGGATTGGCTCACATCTATTCAGCACAAAAAAGTATCGTCATCGCCCATATCTATATTCTATCAATTAATGCAAAACACAAGAAAAAGTCTTTAGTCTCATTCGGTATCAAACTTCAGTCAAAAGATCTCAGTCATCGCTGTAGATACTCAAATCCTTTCCTTTTACACACTACTGCTGCAAATTTCACCAGCTACGAGCGATATTGCCAGCTACCGCTATCGATGAACTGCTTTTTTTTGCTCTCGTTGTGTATATGATACTCACTGATGCATTCAAGACGAACTTTGTTTGAACCGAGTATCGTCACCGAGAATGGGCCTGTCACATTTGGATTGTATGTTGTTACAACCAAGATGTATGTCGTGTTGACAACAAGTTCAACTGTGAATCTGAACTGATCTTGGTTGCAACATTGACCATGCCATGCAATCAAGTTATGTGTAGGATTGTATCGATCAAAATCATGCTTGTACAGATGACCGTAGAGATCAACACTGCTAGTAGCAGTCAGGATGTAGAAGTCAGTTTTATTAACCAATACTTTAATGACTTCCAAGTGATAACGTGGATGAGGCAATAGAGTTCGAGAATACATTGCGTGATTTTCTGTCAAGATCGACGAATAAAGTGCTTGAGGTAATAGTGGGACATCGTCTAAATGAAAAAAAAAGAAACATTTGAAAGCTGTATGAACCTAAACTCTTGATCGCAATACTCAAATGCAGAGAAATATGTGCCACGACGAAGTTTTATTATCTAAAAACATTTCATACTCACGACAAGAATCTTTCTGCTTATGAAATTTTTGAGGTCGATAATTCATGCGATCAACAACAAATATGTTTCCATAGACATCAAAACTAAAAATTGCGGACCAAATGAATTGATGAGATTCTTCGCCATATCCATCGCGCCCAAATAAGCGGCGAAATCCATTTGGTCCAGATGCAACAATATTATGATTGTCATTATCCACAATGAAGAGATATTTGTCAGCATCTAATAAAATCGACTCTGGATAAATGAGTGGAATTGTGATATCTGATGAACTCGCTCCTGCCACTGTTTTTGCATTTTTTTCACGAAACGAAAATTGTTGAATTCGATGGTTGAAGTGATCTGCCACATATAAATCGAGATTTGTATCAACAAAGATTCCTCTAGGAACAAAGAGATTATCTGGGCCGGAGCCCTGATGGCCTGTACCAGCTACAACCATTGCCATCTTCTCATCGTCTAATGATCTTTTCATTACTGTATGAGACCGAATTGCTGAACAATATAAATAATTATTAACATCGATGAAAATATAAACACAGTTGTCCTCAAAGTCTGGAATATCAACAGAATTGTTATTACTTTGTGCCCATTTGATAATTTTGCTGCTATCAAAACTGATATAAATGTCTCCCTTGTTGGAAACAAATATAGATGAGATCACTGGCCATTTTTCTTCTTCGATTATAATTGGATCAGTGCTATTTTCATGCCAAATCAAGATTTGTTTTTTTGCATCCGTAGCCACATAAATAGTATTGTTGGTATCAATAAAAATTTGAGGACCGTTATTCTGAACCACAATTCTGTTCATAAAAGTGGTGGCAGTTCGATTCCATTGTACTGTCGGACACAGTTTCGGTTGATTGAATGAAACGCCTATGCAATGAAAGCAATAACTTCAGTAACAGATCTGATTAATTTCACAGTGAAGTATCTAACGAAAAGCAACGAACACTTCTGAGCGCAAATAATTACCTGATATTCCACTGATTACAAGCAGCAGAAACACACTAATAACAACCATGTTCAACGTGATGTGTGAAGAAATAAATGACTATTCGATCATACTTTCTCCTGTGTTTATGGTTCTCTTTATATCTGTCAGGATTTCTGGGCTTCTGCGAATGAGCAATGATTAATTGATATGAATAGATATTCTCTACCGTCACGACTATCTGGATGACGTTCTTTGTTGTTATGTTTTGCATTCACAGTAATCTTGTGCATGACAAGAAATTCATGACTTGTAGAATGAAAGAAGATTGAGCGAGAATATGAATGTTTTCTGATAAGTCAGACAAAGGCATGAGCGTCATTGATAGATCCGAATAAAATATTGACTGAATGATTTCAGAAGAGATGAGAGGCAAATATTGTTTGAGACAGACTTTGGAGACAATCTATTTTTCGACCCGTGGATGTTCGTTCAGAAAGATTGATCTTGAGTGTGACGATAAAAACGAAGTATTGACACCTTAAGCTACAATTGTTCACAGCTGCCTCTTCAAGAAATGCAAATTTTGTTTGTCGACATCGTCCCTTTCAACATTTATCGCCAAAATCTGCTGAATCATCATCACTTCGAACATCAAATATTCAGATTGAATGTAAATACAGTAATTACAACAGTTAGAATTGCTACTGAACGAATGTCGATCTGTCAGGGAACTTCTCTTCTCATCAAATGCGTTATTGCCGAGCTAATGATGGGAACCACTCTAATAAGTCTTAGTACTGTCATTTATCATTGTCTAGTATAACAATGAGTTTCATTATTAATTACATGAGTATGTCGCATAGTTTTTGTGCACTTCGATTGTCGTCAATTTAGTCATATGATGTATTATTTGTTTGTAGTTGTTATACTACGTGTTCTCATCCACAATAACTATAGTGCTGTTTATTGTGTAGAGTTCCACTTTTACTATGCGGTGATCTGCAATCATCAACAACTGGTAGATATAGTCATTGGTTCTACTCTTTAATTCATATCTTTTAACGTTTTTAACGCGATGCAAGGATGATAAGCAGTTAACAGCAATATTTTCTGATACGAAATATTGCGTGAGGCTTCAGTTAAATTATCCGTGACTTCGACCACCCACTTAATGTACCTATGACAATTTTCTTCGGAGTCTAACTATGGTATCTTTTATCATATTCGTCTTGTACGTGTTTACACACCATTGTCTGAGAACGTTCTCATCAGCAGTTACTTCATGTTTTACAATTGATGGTGACTGGCCATGGATATGTTTCAGTTTTATTTCGGCTCAATTTGTTTGAGACACACAAAATCGATAGAAGCAAGAAGCTAGTCAATTGTTTGTGGCGCGTCAATATATTCGAATCGTTGAATCATAACTTTTCTTTTCTTTCTTTTTGCTTTTCGCCATTTTCGACGATCCTCCTCGATTGGTGTTGGATCTATTCCAAAACAATATTTCAGAACGTCCATAATAACAAAGAACGTCGCCGTAACTGTCATGACAATAATGGCAATATAAGAAATTGATTTCGAAATAATTCTTGAGACGATTATTCTAGTGGCGATCACTTCACAATGTAAGCCAGAGTAGCTGCCGTGAAGGCATGCACAGGAATAGTTTAGAAAGGATGGGAAACAAACGCCATTATTCAAACATGTGGCATTCTTGCAGAAATCAACTTTGGATTGACAGCGAGTATTTGTCCATCCGTATACGCAGGAGCAATTGAATTTTGTTACTGATATGACGTTGCATACGCCTATAAACAAAAAGGTCAAATGCGTTTCTTTGATGAGGAGAGAAGAGGATGTGCACCATTGTTTAAGCAAGTTGTTGGTTTACAAGATTGATAATTGAGTTGACATTGTGTGCCGTTGAAACCGGCTGAGCACGAGCAAACATATCCTTGGTCACTGTTCGTTAAGTTATTGCAGGCTGCGTTGTTTCTGCACGGATCCAGCATAGAACAGTAAGAACTAGATATATTACAATAGAGACCGATGTTTGTTGTATTGGAGCACGAAGAAGCAATAAAAAATGGTGCTGTTGACATTGCTGAAGAATAATGTCATATATATTTGTGACTTCGGAAACCTTACACAAAAAAAAAACTTACGATTGTAATGCGTTATCGACGTAATACCAGATTTGGTCGTTGTAATCGCATTATCTGTGAATCAAAATAGTAGAGTGTAGATTTATTAGAACTTCTACGAATGATTCTATTCTCAATAATGCCGTAAGCGAAAGTAGTGAACTATTATTACTCCTTATCTACTCATTCCCGAAGTCAAGTTGACTGTCCTCTTGCTGCCATACCTGTCGAAATACTATATATCGATGCAATATCTGATGAATGAACGTCTGTTGAAGATTGAACTGAAAGCAAAGCCAAATCAAGATTTTTACAGGAAGTAAGCAATATTATTCAGATTACGTGTGCGGCTTGTTGACATTAGTGTTGTTTGTATTGATGATGCTGTTACTCGTGTTATTGTTAATGTTGTTGATGTCGTCGATATGAATGTTACAGATGTCGTGGATGTGGATGTTGTTGTTGTCGTTTGACCTAAATAAAATGTTGACAAACTTGTTCAACGAGGAACTGTTTCGAGGAATATGTCATAGATGAGATGAAATCTAACGTGACTATAATACTAAATCAACAGAAACGAAGTACAGATTGGTAATTGAACAGATTTCTAGGCTGATTAAAATTAAAAGATAATAATACGTACTAGCATTATTTATTAAATAGAAGATCTGAACTCGATAATTGCTTCGATCGATGACAACAATATTCCCAAAGGAATCAAACCAAAGCTTCTGCGGGTCTTTGAGTTGACTGCTTTCTGAACCACCGGTACCAGTTGGAGAACACGCTGCTATACATCGAAAGCCATTCGGTCCCGATGCAAGAAGTCTGTTATAACCGCGATCAACAATAAAAAGATAACCGTCACCGTCGAGTGTAACTCCGCTGGGATTTAACAATCCAGCAGGTGTTAATGCACCAGTAACATGTATCGTCGTTCCATTCAAACTTCCTTGCCGGTACAACTGAATTCTATTGTTTGATCTGTCTGCAACGTATAGATCTCGATTGACATCAACAAAAATACCGTTGGGATTATTAAGTAAATATGATGAATTTCCACTGGTTCCGTTGCCTGCGGCTAACGATACTGAACTTGACTTGTTATTAAGTGAAATTTTAATAACTTTATTTTCACCGTCCAAACAACAGTAAAGAGTGTTGTTTACATCCACAAACACATCAAGACATCGACTAGTAACACTCATAATCACCGTACCATTTGCGGTCGTCGAGGCTGATTTATCCAGTGCATAGATTTTATTATTAGCGCCCACATACATGGTACCATCGACTGTTACAAAGAGACCACGTAAATCACTTAGACTACCAGAAATAATTCTTGATGGGGTAGAATTGTTTTCAGACCAAATGGCAATAGATTTGAGTGTTGTAGAAGCAAGGTATATAGTATTATCATTTCTTATGAATATGGTATACGAGATAACGGCATTCGTAATCAATATGCAATATGATTATTTCAGAATGTTTTCACAAAGCACCACCAATCTCACGAAGGTGTTAAACTATAAATGTAACAAGNTTGATCTTGAGTGTGACGATAAAAACGAAGTATTGACCCCTTAAGCTACAATTGTTCACAGCTGCCTCTTCAAGAAATGCAAATTTTGTTTGTCGACATCTTCTCTTTCAACATTTATCGCCAAAATCTGCTGAACCATCATCACTTCGAACATCAAATATTCAGATTGAATGTAAATAGAGTAGTTACAACAGTTAGAATTGCTACTGAACGAATATCGATCTGTCAGGGAACTTCTCTTCTCATCAAATGCGTTATTGCCGAGCTAATAATGAGAAACACTCTAATAAGACTTAATACTGTCATTTAGCATTGTCTAGTATAACAATGAGTTTCATTATTAATTACATGGGCATGTTGGATAGTTTTTGTGCATTTCAGTTGTCTTCAATTTAGTCATATGATGTATTGTTTGTTTGTAGTTGTTACTACATGTTCTCGTCCACAATGACATTAATGGAGTAAATTTCGTGTCACACAATAACTATAGTGCTGTCTATTGTGTAAAGTTTCACTTCCATTAAGCAGTGATCCGCAATCACCAACAACTGATAGATATAGTCATTGGTTCTACTCTTTAATTCATAACAATTAACAGCAATATTTTCTTATACGAAGTATTGCGTGAGGCTTCAGTTAAATTATCCCTGACTTCGACCACCCACCTAATGCACCTATAACAATTTTCTTCGGAGTCTAACTGTGGTATCTTTTATCATATTCGTCTTGTATGTGTTTACACATCATTGTATGAAAACGTTCTCGTCATCAGTTACTTCATGTTTTACAACTGATGATGGCTGGCTATGGATATGTTTCAGTTTTATTTCGATCCAATTTGTTTTAGATATACAAAATCGATAGAAGCAATAAGTTAGTCAATTGCGTGTGGCGCATCAATATATTCGAATCGTTGAATCATAACTTTTCTTTTCTTTCTTTTTCCTTTTCGTCGATCCTCCTCGATTGCTGTTGGATCTATTCCAAAACAATATTTCAGAACGTCCATAATAACAAAGAACGTCGCCGTAACTGTCATGACAATAATGGCAATATAAGCAATTGATTTCGAAATAATTCTTGAGACGATTGTTCTAGTGGCGACCACTTCACAATGTAAACCAGAAGAACTACCATGAAGACATGCACATGAGTAGTTCAAAAAATGTGGGAAACAAACACCATTGTTCAGACATGTGACAGTCTGGCAGAAATCAATTTTTGATTGACAACGAGTATCTGTCCATCCGTATACGCAGGAACAATCGAATTCCGTTGTTGATATGACGTTACATGCGCCTATAAACAAAAAGATCAAGTGCGTTTCTTTGATGAGGAGAGAAGAGAATGTGCACCATTGTTTAAGCAAGTTGTTGGTTTACAAGATTGATAATTGAGTTGACATTGTGTACTGTTGAAACCGGCTGGGCACGAGCAAACGTACCCTTGGTCACTGTTCGTTAGGTTATTGCAAGTTGCGTTGTTTCTACACGGATCCAGCATGGAACAGTGAGAACTGGATATATTGCAATAGAGACCGATGTTTGTTGTATTAGAGCACGAAGGAGCAATAAAAAATGGTGCTGTTGACATTGCTAAAGAATAATGTCATATATATTTGTGACTTCGGAAACCTTACACAAAAAAAACCGACGATTGTAATGCGTTATCGACGTAATACCAGATTTGGTCGTTGTAATCGCATTATCTATGAATCAAAATAGTAGAGTGTATATTTATTAGAAGTTCTATGAATGATTCTATTCTCAATAATGACGTAAGCGAAAGTAATGAACTATTATTACTCCTTATCTACTCATTCCCGAAGTCAAGTTGACTGTCCTCTTGCTGCCATACCTGTCGAAAAACTATATATTGATGCAATATCTGATGAATGAACGTCTGTTGAAGATTGAACTGAAAGCAAAGCAAAAGCAAGATTTTTACAGGAAGTAAGCAATATTATTCAGATTACGTGTGCAGCTTGTTGACATTAGTGCTGTTTGTATTGATAATGCTGTTACTCGTGTTATTGTTAATGTTGTTGATGTCATCGATATGAATGTTACGGATGTCGTGGATGTGGATGTTGTTGTTGTCGTTTGACCTAAATAAAATGTTGACAAACTTGTTCAACGAAGAACTGTTTCGAAGAATATGTCATAGATGAGATGAAATCTAACGTGACTATAATACTAAATCAACAGAAACGAAGTACAGATTGGTAATTGAACAGATTTCTAGGCTGATTAAAATTAAAAGATAATAATACGTACTAGCATTATTTATTAAATAGAAAATCTGAACTCGATAATTGCTTCGATCGATGACAACAATATTTCCAAAGGAATCAAACCAAAATTTTTTGCGGGTCTTTGAGTTGACTGCTTTCTGAACCACTGGTACCAGTTGAAGAACACGCTGCTACACATCGAAAGCCATTCGATCCTGACGCCAGAAGTCTGTTATAACCGCGATCAACAATAAAAAGATAACCGGCACCGTCAAGTGTAACTCCGCTGGGATTTAACAATCCAGCAGGTGTTAATGCACCAGTAACATTTATCGTCGTTCCATTCAAACTTCCTTGCCGGTACAACTGAATTCTATTGTTTGATCTGTCCGCAACGTATAGATCTCGATTGACATCAACAAAAATACCGTTGGGATTGTTAAGTAAATATGATGAATTTCCACTGGTTCCGTTGCCTGCGACTAACGATACTGAACTTGACTTGTTATTAAGTGAAATTTTAATAACTTTATTTTCACCATCCAAACAACAGTAAAAAGTGTTATTCACATCCACAAACACATCAAGACATTGACTACGTAGTAACATTCATAATCACCGTACCATTTGTGGTCGTCGAGGCTGATTTATCAAGTGCATAGATTTTATTATTAGCGCCCACATACATGGTACCATTGACTATTACAAAGAGACCACATAAATCAGTTAGACTACCAGAAATAATTCTTGATGGGGTAGAATTGTTTTCAGACCAAATGGCAATAGATTTGAGTGTTGTAGAAGCAAGGTATATAGTATTATCATTTCTTATGAATATGGTATACGAGATAAC